GCTGATTCCCAAAGGGCCACAATGGCTGGGGTTGAACCAGACTGAAGCCAGGAGCCTGGAACTCCATCTGAGTCTCCCCTGTAGGTGGCAGGGGCCCGAGTACTTGGGCCATCCTCCACTGCCTTCCCAGGTGCATTAGCAGGAAGTTGGATCAGAAGTGGAGCAGCCGGGACTCAAAAAGGTGCCCATATGGGATTCTGGCGTTGCAAGGGGCGGCTTAACCCACTGCACCACAATGCCAGCCCCGGGTGCTGACTTTGCTACAGTCTGGTTAATCATCAGCCAGGATCCCAGCACAGACTGGGCTCCTGTTCGTTCAACCCCAAACATCCTGAGTGGAAACGACACCATCCCCTTCTGCTGTCCTGGCTGCTCTTCCCTCCTGCCTGTCACCTCCCTCCTTCCCTGACCCTCCCTCTACTGGCCCAAGGGCGCACAGAGATGACACTGTCTTTCCCTTTCATCAGCAGCAAAGAGCTAGGGAAAGCGCAGAGGAACCCATCATGTGCACACACACTGTGTATGATCTACGATCGCACCCATTACCAGGGGCCCTGTGTGCCTGGCACCGCCAGGGAGACTCGTTTTACAGTTGGGAAACTGAGGAAAAGCAGTAGCCAAGTCAGTGAGTGCCAAGGGCACCGCGCTCCTAACACCTGGCTGAGCCAAGACTGGACCCAATGTGTCTCTGCTGGACCCCAGAGCCCAGCTGGGAAATCCGAGGGAGAGAGGTATTCTGGACTCCACCCAGGAGCTGGGGACGGAACCAAAGTCTAGGCCCAGCCAGTGACCGCAGGGCGTTGGCGAGCAATCAGAAAGAGGGGAGATGGGACAGGCCCTGGGAGCAAAGACAAGGAGTGTCCATGGCCAAGGCCCCCATGTCTGGGAAAAGGCCATGCATTTGAGCCTGCGCCTTCCCAGTGCGACCTTGTCATCACTAGCACTCACATCCTAGCTTCGCCTGCCACTCACTGTGGTCTGGGTCCCTCGGAATCTGCCTGCCCAGCAGCCGTGAGCGTCCCAGGCTGCGATACAAACGTGGGTATTGTTGGGTCCTCTGGAAGGGAAGTGACTGAAGTGTAAGGTGGTTGAAAGAGGAAGAAGATGTGAGAAAAGACTCACAAAACCGTCCCCGGGGCAGACTGCAGACTGCTTGCTTTACCCAGTGTTTGCTTGGAGGTGGAGGGAGGAGTTGCCAAGCCAGAGGCTGGGGTCCTACATCTGCAGAATAATGGAGAATAAGGGTCCCTAAGGCCCCCACCATGCCTGATTAGTGTCTCCGGGCCTCTATTTCCCCATCTATAAAATATGGAAAATAATAATAGTAGTAGTAGTAGTACCTGTTTTGTAGGATCCTTTTGAGTTTTCAATGATAGAACATACAGAAAGCACTAGTACAATGCCAGTTAGCTGTCCACATCGTCCCCCAGTCTTCTTTCTGGGTGACAGTTTTGGACAAGAGAGAGCAAGCAGCTTCTCCCAAGAGCCAACAGGTGCTGCTGCCAGGGTCAGGCCCGGAGCCCCTGACTCCTCCCTCGGGACCCTTTTCTGCCCCCCTCCCCCAATCATGCCCTCGCTCTAGTTCCGTTAGGCAGCTAAGCCACTGCTAAATTAGTCTTGAATAGTTCTGCAACGTGCCGTGGAGAGTGCAGGTGCGAGTTCCCCGCCCACAGATGGAGGCACTGACGCTGAGCGAGCTGGCTAACCTGCCTCCAGATCACACAGCCTGGGCACAGCAGAGCTGGGGGTTGAACCCAGTGTCGGTTCATCCCCAGACCGTGGCGCTTCACCCTCACCTGGCTCAGCTCTGCTGGGAGGGAGACTGGAGCGGAGCCAGAGGGAGGCACAGGAAGGTCCCAGGAAAAGGAGTGAGTCCACAGCAGGTGGCAAAGACACAGAGACCAGGGCTGGGGCGATGACAGACAGTGGACGGCAGACTCGGGGTGGAGTCCCACAGGGGGCCCACATGTGTAGCCCACGGACATTTGAGAAAGGAATGTTAGAGGAGAGCTTACCGACGGTCACCTGCTCCAGTTCCGTGACTTCTTTCCTGGAAGGACCAGGGGTGGCTATGCTATGAATGAGAGCAGTGGAAATAAAATCACTCACAGCAGTGACTGAGTCAGGAGCCAATGTGAGCGGCTCCGGGCTGCACCCGGTGTGCGTGCAGTGCTGGGCTTGCCGCAGCCTGGGGAGAAGGCAGCACCCCTCCGTCTCAAGAAGCCTGCTGTCCCCCCAACAAGCATCTGTTCATTCATTCCTCCAGGCAATTGATTTAACAGCATCGAAGTGCCAGGATCAGGCACGGGAAAGCCCAGGAGGAACTTAGTAACGGAACGGACAAGGAAGCAAGCCCCTTGCAGTCCTGGTCCTCCCCGCCCTGGGAGACTTGATGTATTTCACCTCTATCCATACAACTCCTGGGACTCGGGTCCTTGGGCGCCCCCTCCCCTGGTACATCCACTCGGGGAGTGACCGCCCACCTGGTGTTCCAGCCCACAAGGTCAAAGGGCCTGAAAAGCTGCCCACCTTCCAGTTCATGTTCCGCTTTAGAGCCACTGCCGTGGCTGCCACCTCATTCTGCAAGTGTGGCCCGGGAGCACCAGGATGAGCCATGCAGTGAGGCTCCGGGGGAACGAGCAGCGGGGAGCCGTGTGTGTCACAGGCTTGGGATGGAGCGGAGGTGTGTCCGGGGCCATGACTGCCTCCCCTGGCTGGACGGGGCTCCACCTCCCTGAGGGCTGCTAGCTTTGCTCCAGCCCTCCTCCAGACTCCACCAAGAACCAGCTGTGGCCCAAACACTGGGACAGGCAAAGTAGAATATGAAGATGACTTTACTTCCGGGTCCAGATTCTTCTCTCGAGCTTAGAGGTTCCGGACACAAGACACAAAACGGACACAGATAACACCAGGTGGACACAGTGGTCTGTGCGCTACAATACAACTGGTTTCACCCAACTGGAGGGGAGACCAGAGTAGGCTTCCTGGAAGAGGTGGCTTTTGCTACAGAAATAGATGTAAAAATTGGCAAGATTCGGGTGAAGGAACACCGTCTATAGCCGCAAAGCCCCAAAAACCTTATTGCAGTGGTGCCATTCCCGCACACACACACCCCAGTGGTGGTGCACAGCACTGAGGGAGCCACCCATGTGTTTCTGATGAGTCACCCCTGCAGGTCAGGCAGGTGTGGCCTTGCTGTGATGAAGTTTCAGCTGAGACTGAGTGGTGATCCTTTGCCTGCCTCGGCTCAAGAAAAACTTCAGATTTTTTATTTATTTTCATTTTATCTGAAAGGCAGAGAGACAGAGAGATCTTCCCTATGCTGGCTTGCTCCCCAAATGCTCACAAGAACCAGAGCTAGGCCAGGCCGAAGCCTTGAGCCAGGAACTCCATCCAGCTTTTCCACGTGGGTGGGAGGGGCCCAAGGACTTGATCCATCATCTGGGGTGCATTAGCAGGTGCCTCCCAGGGTGCGCGTTAGCAGGAAGCTGGAAGAATCGGGACTGGAGCCAGGACTCGAACCCAGGCACTCTGATATGGGATGTGGGCGTCCCCAGCAGAGAGACTCAGCCACTGTGCCACACGCCCGCCCCGCCGCGGCAGAGGTGAGGCCGGCTGCCGACTGTGTACTCTCACTTCACACTTTCACTTCGGTCAGGAAAAACCCAGGCACACCTATTCCTGAGCAGTTTCCCAGGCCTCGAGGTTCCCTTCCCAGAACTCAGCAAGTCAGGGCTCCAGGTGGCAGCCCCGAGGCTGCCCCCAGCCTGGACACCTTACTGCGGACAGGTGCTTGCTGGCTGCGGCACTCTTGTCAGGCGAGCAGAGCACCTGGTCTGTTGGTTCTCTTCGAATCTTGCATTTGTACAGCATCAGATCACAAAATGCTTTTGCATGCATCCATGGTTCTTTTTTTCTTAGGGATTTATTTATATTTGAAAGACAGAGTTACAGAGAGAGAGGGAAAGACAGAGAGAGAGAGAGAGATCCTCCACCTGCTGACTCACTCCCCCAAAAGGGTCACAGTAGTCAGGAATAGGCCAGGCTGAAGCCAGGAGCCTGGAAGTCCATCCGGGTCTCCCACACAGATAACAGGGGCCCAAGCACTTGGACCATCCTGCACTGCTTTCCCAAGCGCATTAGCAGGGAGCTGACCAGAAGTGAGGCAGCGCCCATATGGGGTGCCGGCATGGCGAGCAGCAGCCTAATCCACTGCTCCACAACACTGGCCCCACCTTCAGTGGTTCTTAACATCTGACCATCACTGACCACTTAAAATCTGTGACTCCTTCCTACTAAACAGTGCATAGGCGTGAAATCTTCAGTACACTTTGCAAGGGCGGACCCGTAGCCCCAGGTTCAAAACTGTCATGGAGCCCATTTGGCTGCCTTATTTTTTAATTAATTAATTATTTATCAAAAGGCAGAGAGACAGAGACAGGCACAGAGAGATCTCCCATCTTCTGCTCCCTGCCCCAATTGTCCACCAAAGCCCAGACTGGACCAGACCAAAGCCAGGAGCCTGGATCTGTTCAGGTCTCCCACATGGGTGGCACGGACCCAAATACTTTTTTTTTTTTAAGGAATTATTTATTTATTTGAAAGACAGAGTTACGGCCCGCACCGCGGCTCACTAGGCTAATCCTCTGCCTTGTGGCGCCGGCACACTGGGTTCTAGTCCCGGTTGGGGCGCCGGATTCTGTCCCGGTTGCCCCTCTTCCAGGCCAGCTCTCTGCTGTGGCCAGGGAGTGCAGTGGAGGATGGCCCAAGTGCTTGGGCCCTGCCCCCCATGGGAGACCAGGATAAGTACCTGGCTCCTGCCATCGGATCAGTGCGGTGCACTGGCCGCAGCGCGCCAGCCACGGCGGCCATTGGAGGGTGAACCAACGGCAAAGGAAGACCTTTCTCTCTGTCTCTCTCTCTCTCACTGTCCACTCTGCCTGTCAAAAAAAAAAAAAAAAAAAAGACAGAGTTACAAAAAGAGGTAGAGCCAGAGAGAGAGAGAGAGAGGTCTTCCATTCCGCTGGTTCACTCCCCAAATGACCCCAATGGCCAGAGCTGAGCCGATCCAAAGCCAGGAGCCAGGAGCCTTGTCCTGGTCTCCCATGCAAGTGCAGAGGCCCTAGGACTTGGGCCATCTTCCTATACTGTGCCTTCCCGGGCCACAGCAGAGGGCTGCATCGGAAGAGGAGTAGCCGGGACTTGAACTGGAGCCCATATGGAATGCCGGCACTGCAGGCTGAGGCTTTAACCCACTGAGCCACAGTGCTGGCCCCAATGGGCTCAAATGCTTGCACCCTCACCTGCTGCCTCCCGGGTCATGCATTAACAGAAAGCTGGAGCAGGAGTGGAGCTGGGATTTGAACCCAGGCACTCTGATATGGGACAGGGGCATCTTCTCTGCTTGCCAAACGCCTGGCCTCCCCAGGGAGAACGGGACACGTCTTGTTACTGTCATCTCACAGAGAAGAAAGGGGCCCAGGATTTCAAAGGGGCTTGTGCGGAGGCAGAGGGGGAACTGGAACCAGCAGTCCGTGTGGCAGACACTGAGCGCCTGTGCGGGACCTTCGGCCGCAGCGCCCGCCCCGCCTGGAGACCACACGTTCTGACCCCTGCAAGGCTGCGGCCCGAAGGGAAGACAGGAAGCTGGGTTCCGGTTGCTCTGCACATCCTGTTGTTGTCGGATGTTGTCTTCCTAGACGCTCCATCCAAATGCCAGCATTTCCCGTCCCCGCCCACTTCAGATAGTAACCACGTGTCAGGGGCCACACAGGCCTGGGTGAGGCACAGTTGCCAGCCGCTACCCTCCACGTCCCTACCTGGACCCAGCGAGAGGTAAGCCATTCCCAGGCTGGGGGGAGCTGGAGTCCCCGTGGGGGGCGTGAGCAGCAAGGGTGCAGAGAGCAGTGCGGGCTCATCCCTCAAGGCCGGAGTGCTGTCAGCATCGGGGGGGAGGGGCTCCCGCTGCCTGCCAGCAGTCAGGCTAACAGCATGGGCTAGGCAGGCCGTCTCACGGGATCACCCCCGGAGCAGCTCACTCCGGCCCTTCCGGGCGGGTTTCAGTTTCATGATGAAGATGCCTGCCTCCCACATTGGAGTACCCGGGTTCAGTTCCTGTCTCCTGACTCCAGCTTCCTGCTAATGCAGACCCTGGGAGGCAGAGGCGATGGCTCAAGCCATTGGGTTCCTCCCACGTGGGAGACTTGGAATGAGTTCTGGCTCCTGACTCCTGGCCTCAGCCCAGGACCTGCTGCTGCAGGCGTCTGGGGAGTGAACCAGTGGCTGGGAGCTCTCTCTGTCAGTCTGTCTGTCTCTGTCTCCCTGTCAGCACAGCTGTGACCTTAACCAGACTCAGCGAAGGACACCTGTCTCAGGGAAAGGCTCCTCCCAGCTTCTCTGTGCTGGCAGCACCAGGCTTTGTCTTGTGACTCAGGGGCCGGGAACCCAGTCCTAGCTCTGTCGCGAACCCCCTGGGCGACCTCAGGCAAATTCCCTCCCGCTCTGCTCTGCTCCCTCCGTGGAAAACTGATGGAGGTAGAGCAGGTGGGAGGTTTCCATCTGCTCCTTGAGCCGGCTGCTTCCGCGGAGGAACCTGGGCCGCCTGGAAGGAGCCCAGAGGAGACAGGAACTCAGATTTCTGCTTGTTATGGAGATAAGGACCCCGTGGACTATAAATGGTCTGTGCTCTCGGATGCCCTCCGCCCAGCATGGAGTGGGTGACATCCCCATCGCAACGAACACTCCGTGTGTAGCGTTCATTCACTGACATCCGCACTCTCACACGCATTGCGGACGAGCAATGAGGCAGTCGGCGCATTAGGTATCGTGAACGAGGCCAATCTGGCTGGGACCTGCACCCAGGGGATTGGCTCCACCTGCAGCGCACTCACACTCAGGGTCTGCACTGGTGGAGGCAGCCCCTTTCCAGCCAGGTGGCTTCATTATCAGGCAGGTTTTGAGAACCCACCCATCACAGGCATTGGGCTAAGACACTGAAGACTGGAATTTCAAAAGGCTCACCACTCTCTGATCTTGACAAGCTCTGGGGCTCAGCCAGGTGGTTTACCTCTCTGGGCCTCTGTTATCTGTGAAGTAACAACATCCATCATTTTAAAAATTATTTTTTAAATTAATGTGATATACTCTTTTTAAAAGATATTTATTTATTTAAAAGACAGAGTTATAGAGAGGCAGAGGCAGAGAGAGAGAAAAAGTATTTTATCCACCGGTTCACTCCCCAAATAGCCACCATGGCTGGAGCTGGGCCAATCTGAAGCCAGGAGCCAGGAGCCAGGAGCTTCTTCCAGGTCTCCCATGAGGGTGAAGGGATCCAAGCACTTGGGCCATGTTCTACTGCTTTCCCAGGCCATAGCACAGAGCTGGATAGGAGGAAGAGCAGCCGGGACTCGAACCGGCACCCATATAGGATGCCAGCAGTGCATGTAGCAGCTTTAACCGCTACGCCAGAGCGCTGGCCCCTCTTTTTATTTTTTTAAGAATGAATTTTCCTGTTCTAGTCCCAGCTGCTCCACTTCTGATCCAGCTCCCTACTAATGTGCCTGGGAAAGCAGCAGAGGATGGCCCAAGTGCTTTGGCCCCTGCATCCACATGGGAGACCCAGAAGAAGCTCCTGGCTCTTGATCCAGCCCCAGCCATTACGACTGTTCGGGGAGTGAACCAGCAGATGGAAGATTTCTCTCTCTCTCTCCCTTCTTATCTCGCTGTAGCTCTGACTTCCAAATAAACAAACAAATCTTAAGGAAAAAGAATGAATTTTCTTCTCTTCTTTCTTCCTTTCTCTCTCTCTTTTTTTTTTTATCTTATTTTACTTGAAAGAGAGACAGAGATAGAGACAGACTGAGAGAACTCCCATTTGCTGGCCCACTCCTCAAATTCCCCACTGAGCCTGGGCCAGGCTGACTCCAGGAGCTGGGAATTCAATCCCAGGTCTCCCATGTAGGTGGCAGGGACCCGGCTGCTTGAACCATCACCTGCTGTCCCCAGGAGTGCACATTAGCAAGAAGCTGGAATGGAGAGGACCAGATCCAGGACTCAAACACAGGTGCTCCTGTGTGGCACGCAGCGTCCCAACCACTGCACCGAATCCCGACATCTAACCCGAATTCTTATCTCATAGAACTGTGTGGATGCAATTAGACTGTGGCTGGAGAAAATATCTGTAGAATTTAAACTCCATGCAAATGTTGGCTAGAGTGTTGGGTTTTTTAAAAAATATTTTTAAAGATTTATTTATTTTATTTGGAAGGTAGAGAGAGAGAGAGAGAGAGGGAGATGGGGATTGAGAGAGAGCTTCTATCTGCTTGTTCACTCCCCAAATGGTCATAAAGACTGAGGCTGTACCAAGTAGAAGCCAGGAACGTGGAACTCCGTCTGGGTCTCCCACATGGGTAGTGGACCCCAGCGCTTGGGCCATCTTCCACTGCCTTCCCAGGCACATTAGCAGGGAGCTGGATTGGAAATGAAGTGACTGGGACTCGAACCTGTGCTCATATGAAATGCCAATGTCACAGGCGGAGGCTCAACCTGTTGGCCACAACACCAGCCTCTGTTGTTGTTAATTAAGAGAGAGAGAGAGAGAGCGAGAGAGCACTCCCATCCGTTGGTTTGCTCCCCAGATACCCACAGTGACCAGAGCTGAGCAGAGGCCGAAGCTCAGTGGGAGTCAGAAACTCAGTCCAGGTCTCCCGCGTGGGTGGCATTAGCAGGAAACTGGAGTCAAGAGCCGGAACCAGCAATCGAACCCACTGTGGATGCTGGTGCCAAACACCCACCCCCTGGTTATTGGTCTAGTTCGTGGGCAAAACATGTGCAGAAGCAGTTGCCATGGATACAAAGGAATTCTGGGAGCTTCACATGAGATTGTGGGAGCTTGGGATTGGAGAAGGCAGGAGAGCTGGGGAGGAATCTGGGGCAAGGAAGAAGTGCAGCACGCAGCTGGGCCGGCCAAGGCTGCCTGCAGTGGCGCTGGGCAGTGGCGCTGGGCCGGCCGAGGCTGCCTGCAGTGGCACTGGGCCAGCCGAGGCTGCCTGCAGTGGCGCTGGGCCGTGTGTGCACAGGCAGCTCGTGGTGCTGCTGTGAGCTGCCCTGTTCTGTGTGAGCCACCCATGAAACGAGACTGTCCCAAAGCCACATCAAATCAGTCAATCCAACAAACAGGGGAGAAAAGAAAGAAACAGGGGAGAGAAGTCGCTACTTAACCCAGTACCAGGGTACTTCAAAAACTTGTGTAAAAATAGAAAGACCTAACAAGACCAAAGCCAGTTCCCTGAAAAGATAATACATGGGGCCAACACTGTGGCATAGTGGGTAAAGCCGCCACCTGCAGCGCCAGCAACCCGTATGGGCACTGGTTCAAGTCCCGGCTGCTCTGCCTCTGATCCAGCTCTCTGCTATGGCCTAGGAAGGCAGAAGATGGCCCAAGTTCTTGGGCCCCTGTACCCATGTGGGAGACCTGGAAGAAGCTCCTGGCTCCTGGCTTTGGATGGGCTTTGGACAGCCATTGTGGCCATTTGGGGAGATCCAACAGATGGAAGATCCCTCCCTCTATCTCTCTCTGCCTCTGCCTCTCTGTAACTCTGCCTTGCAATAAATAAATAAACATTAAAAAAGAAAGAAAGAAAAGATAATAAATAGACAACCTCAAGCCTGGTCATATAAAAAAGGAGGGGCGTTGTTGGACCTATCAGTACATTCCAAACTGGGGTGCTAGGTTCAAGTCCCAGCTCCACTGGCTAATTCAAGCTCCTGGCTTTGGCCTGGCACAGCCATTGCAGGCATTTGGGGAGTGGGCCAGTGGATGGGACCTCTTTCTGTGTGTCTCTCTCTGCCTGTGAAATAAACTTTTAAAAAGTATCTTATTTTAACAAGAACAAAAGGAAAGAGACCACAAATCAGAAAGATGCCCCAGGAGCTGGCGTGGTGGTGCACCGGGTTAAGCTGCCACCTCCGATATCCAAGGGCAGGTCGGAGTCCCTGCTGCTCTGCTTCGAAACCAACCTCCTCGGGTGCCCAGGAAGGCAGCAGATGGCGGCCCCCAGCGCCTGAGCCCCGGCACCCACATGGGAGACCCAGATGTAGCTCCTGGCTCCTGGCTTCAGCCTGGCCCAGCCCTGGCCATTGCAGACATTTGAGGAGGGAAACAGTGGATGGAAGACCTCTGTCTGTCTCTGTCTCTCTCCTTCTCCCTCTCATCACTCTCTGCTGCTCTGCCATTCAAACAAATAAGTCTGAACAAGAAAAAATATTTAATTTCCCTCCTTACTATTCCTGTCTTCTGCCTTCTCTGCATTGACACTGTTGCTCTTTCTTGAATTTCATGAGCTGGATGTTGAGCTCGTCAATCTCTTCTTTTTCTCTTGTAACGTGTACTATGAATGGAATGTGTCCCCGTGCCACACCGCTCAGCGCAGCCCACACATTTGAATGTGCTGTGATGTCATGATCATACAGTTCTAAGCATTTTCTAATTTCCTTTATGATTTTTGGCTCAAGATTATTCAGAACCTCTGAAGTTTGTCAGTCATATTTGTTCAGTTCTTGATTTCTAAGTAAATTGCATGTGGTCAGAGCACGCCTTGCGTGTGACAGATCGTTCAACATGTTTCTGAAAAGTGCTTGTCACTGGCACATAGGCAGTCTGATCAAGACCCACATACGTGGTCTCCGGTCACGGGGCGCGGAGTTTCACGTGTGACTGATGCACAGAGAGCCAGAGAGGCTGAAGCACACGGAGGGGAGGTCGGAGGGACAAAGGGGCCGGAACACACAAAGCCCCTGTGGCCATTCTGAGGACCTCAGCCACAGCCAGGGCTTGCGTTTTTGTTTTTCAAAGAAAAAAAAAGATTTTTTTTATTATTTATTTGAGAGACAGAGTTACAGAGAGAGAAACAGAGAGAAAGGTCTTCCATCCACTGGTTCACTCCCCAGATTGCCAGGAATCAGGAGCTTCTTCCAGGTCTCCCACATGGGTGCAGGGGCCCAAGCACTTGGGCCATCCTCCACTGCTTTCCCAAGCCATAGCAGAGAGCTGGATCAGAAGAGGAGCAGCTGGGACTTGAACCGGTGTGAAGCCAACGTTTCACCTCTCATCCGGTACTTATTAAAGCTTCAGTACCTTTGGGCCAGCGTTGTGGCACACAAAGGGTTAACTCACAGCTTGTGCCGCCCACATCCCTGTCTGAGGGCTGGTTCCAACACAGCTTCCTGCTCTGTGCCTGGGAAAGCAGAAGATGGTACTTGGACTGCTGTTACCCATGTGGGAGACGTGGATGGAGTTCTGGCTCCAGGCTTTGGCCTTGCCCAGCCCGTGCCATTGTGATCATTTGGGGAACGAAGCAGCAGATGGAAGATCTCTTTATCTGTCCCTTTCTTTCTGTCATACTGACTTTCAAATAAATTTTTTAAATCTAAAAAATAAAAATGAATGAATTCCTCAAAGCTGGCAAAACAGAAACAGCAATGTTAAAATAAAGGGGGGAGGGGCGGCACTGTGGCGTAGTGGGTGAAGTCTGCAGGGCCAGCATCCCACATGGGCACCAGTCTGAGTCCCGGCTACTCCACTTCCAACCCAGCTCCCTGCTGATGCACCTGGGAAAGCAGCAGAGGATGGCCCAAGTGCTTGGGCCCTGCACCCACAGGGGAGACCCGGATGAAGCTCCTGGCTCCTGGCTTCGGCCTGGCCCAACCTGGCTGTTGTGGCCATTTGGGGAGTGAGCCAGCAGATGGAAGATCTCTCTCCTTCTCTCTCTCTCCCTCCTTCTGTAACTCTGCCTTTCAAATGAATTAATTAATTAAAAAAAAAAAAAAAAAAAAAAAAAGCAACAACACAAAACCACTTGCGTCTGATCACTCCAGATTCCACTTCTTGGTTTTGATTTCCCCTTGACTTCTGACTCCTTGCTTTCAAAGGGAAGTCTTAGAATTTGTCTTCTGGAAAATAGAAGGCCGAAAAGCTTACAGGGCAGTTTTGCTTGTCGCATGCCCACGTCCCTCCCCTGAGGCACCCGGGACAGAGCTGGCTCCCCACGCTGCTGCGCCACGGAGGGACTCAGGGAGACGGGGCACGCATTGCTTTCTCGGCACGTTCTCCGTCCGCTGCACAGGTCGCAGTTTTGACTGCTGTCAACCACTGGCCATTGTCGCACTGACTGGGTCTCTTCTCTTCTCAGAGCGCTACAGCAAAGCCAACGGGCCCACCCCATGGAGCCATGCGGGGTGACGGAGGCGGCCAATGGCTCCACCGAAGGCTTGGACTTCAACCCCATGGAGCAGTACATGATCCTGAGCGACCCCCAGAAGATAGCTGTTGCAGTGCTGTGCACGCTCCTGGGCCTGCTGAGCGCCCTGGAGAACCTGGCCGTACTCTACCTGATCCTGTCTTCCCACTGGCTCCGCCGGAAGCCCTCGTACCTGTTCATCGGCAGCTTGGCTGTGGCTGACTTCCTGGCCAGTGTGGTCTTTGCCTGCAACTTTGTAAATTTCCACGTCTTCCAGGGTGTGGATTCCAGGGCTGTCTTCCTGCTGAAGATCGGCAGCGTGACCTTGACCTTCACTGCCTCCGTGGGTAGCCTGCTGCTGACCGCCATTGACCGCTACCTCTGTCTGCGCTACCCACCTAGGTACAAAGCCCTACTGACCCGTGGGAGGGCACTGGTGACCCTGGGCGTCATGTGGGTCCTCTCGGCGCTGGTGTCCTACCTGCCCCTCATGGGGTGGACTTGCTGCCCCAGTCCCTGCTCCGAGCTCTTCCCCCTGATCCCCAACGACTATCTGCTGAGCTGGCTCCTGTTCATCGCCTTCCTCTTCTGTGGCATCATCTGCACCTACGTGCATGTCCTCTGGAAAGCCCGTCAGCACGTAGCCAGCTTGGCTGGGCACCAGGACCAGCAGGTGCCGGGAGTAGCCTGGATGCGGCTGGACGTGAGGTTGGCCAAGACCCTGGGCCTGGTGTTGGCTGTGCTGCTCCTGTGCTGGTTCCCAGTCCTGGCCCTCATGGTCCACAGCCTGGTGGCCACGCTGAGCAAGCAGGTCAAGAAGGCCTTCGCTTTCTGCTCGATGCTGTGCCTCGTCAACTCCATGGTGAACCCCGTCATTTACGCCCTGCGGAGTGGGGAGATCCGCTCCTCTGCCCAACGCCGCCTGGCCCGCTGGAAGAAGCGCCTGCAGGGCCTGGGGCGAGAAGAAAAAGAAGAGGCCCCAAGGTCAAGGTCATCCATCTCAGAGACGGACAGGAACTTCACCCTGGGGCCAGAGTCTGGAGGGCAGTAGTGCTCGGAGCTCGGGCGATGCCACTCCAGGTCTGAAGCGACGCTGCTCTTGCGGGAGCAGGGGATGCCACAGCCACCCCAGTAGGCTGTGAGGTGCTGGGACCGACTCCCCAGAGAGCCCTGCCCTTGCCAATCAGCAAGCAGCCTGTTGAAGAGCAAGGGCCTGTGGCTGGGAGACAAAGGGCTGGGCGGGCTCAGCGGGTGTCAGGCCCAGCAACGCCCTGCCCCACAACGTGTCTCAGCGCCTGTGTCCCCCAGAAACCACAGGCGCCCAGGGAGCCTTCCACCCCCAGCATTGAGGGACTTGGAGGATTCTTCTAGAAACCCGGGTACCACTGCTGATCTTTGGGCCTCCCTGGGTCAGGAACTACGAGAGATCACACCTCCGGGTCACCTGGGCCCACGGAGGGCAGAGAACTGTGATGTGCTGAGTGTCCAGGTGTTGGCCCCTCTTCTGGAGGTGGGGGATGACATCAGCTTTGGGTCCCTTGTTCGGAATGAGGGCCCCACCCCCACATCCTAACAGTCCCCACTCTCTCAGCTCCTTGGAGGAGGCACAAACATTCAAGACACAGACTTCAGAAAATTGTGTTGGGGCCTGCGCTGTGGCACAGTGGGCTAAGCCTCCCGCCTGTGAGGCCAGCATCCGATATGGGCGCTAATTTGTGTCCTGCTGCTCCACTTCCAATCCAGCTCTCTGCTGTGGGCCCCTGCACCCTCACTGGAGACTGGGAAGGAGCTCCTGGCTCCTGCCTTCCGATTGGCCCAGCTCTGGCCATTGAAGCCATTTGGGGAGTGAACCAGCAGATGGAAGACCTGTCTCTGTCTGTCTCTCCCTCTCTCTGTCTGTAACTCTACCTCTCAAATGAATAAAAAAAAATTTTTTTAAATGAATATTGTGCTGCCCCTGTAAGCTCCTGCGTGGCAGTGCTGCCAGGAGCAGGCGGTCTGTCTGGCTAACCTAACTCGGAGGAAGACTTTGTCAATTCCCCAGTGCCCTCGGTACAGTCCTGGAGCCTCCTGCACACCCCAACAATGGGAGGTGAGAAGCGCTACAGGGAGGAGGGCAAACGCCTTCCTACGTGCCAGGCACCAGGCTAATGGGCCACAGCCGCCTAGCCCAGCAAGGACCTAGCTCCCTGCTTTTGACGACCCCAGGGTTCCCACCTTTCACACGTCAGAGAGGCTGGGTTCTTCTCAACTTGCTTAAAGCGGGAGGCAAGAGCGTCGCTGGTGGTGGGCAGGAGTGCCGAGAGGTCCTAAAGCAAATCTTTGGGACCACGCGTGGAATACAGGGGATGACGCTACTGGCTGGGCACGGCTGCCTTGACGACTGACAAGCCAAGGTGTGCGCTGTCCGCCTGCTTTTCCAGTGGGCGCTGGGCTCCGAGCCCGGTCCTGGGTGAACAGGGCAGCCACAGATGAGGTTCTCCCCGTCTTGTGGGGCTTAGGCTCTGCCTTCCGGTAAGAAGAGGGCCAGGCCAGCACTGTGGTGTAGTGGGCTAAGCCTCCGCTTGTGGCGCCGGCATCCCATATGGGCGCTGGTTCTGAGCTGGCTGCTCTTCTTCCAATCCAGCTCTCTGCTGTAGCCTGGGAAAACAGTGGAAGATGGCGCAAATGCTTGGGTCCCTGTACCCATGTGGGAGACCAGAAGAAGATCCTGGCTCCTGACTTCAGATTGGCTCAGCTCTGGCCATTGAGGCCATTTGGGGAGTGAACCAGAGGATGGAAGACCTCTCTCTCTCTCTCTCTCTCTCTCTCTCTGCCTCTCCCTCCCTCTGTCTGTAACTCTACCTCTCTCAAATAAATACAATCTTAAAAAGAAGGAGGAGGAGGAGGAGAGGGCCAATGAGTAAAGAGAGACTTGCAAGCAGTCCCGGGGATGAAAGTGGCAGAACCACGCATGTGATGGGTCTTGCCTGAGGCCTTGACATAAGACAGACCCAGCGGCAGCTCAGCCAGACGCGCCAGCTGGCTATCACCGAGCCTGTGCGAGGTGCTTCTCAATGCCTTCTTTCCCACGGCCCCCACAGCAGCCTGGTGTGCTCCTTTTGCCGACGAGGGACCCTTAGGGTGGCAAAGTCACAGGTGGCTGAGGTCACACATATTGTACTTGGGCCTAGGTATCCACAGGAAACAGTTCCAGGCTTGCCCCCACACCCACCCCCAAGCCCTGCAACACACACACAGACACACAGACCCCAAAACCCATGGATGCTCAAGTCCCTTATATAAAATGGCTCTGTATTTTTTAATTTTTAAAAATTGTATTTGAGGGGCCAGTGCTATGGTGCAGCACTGGCTTCCCATGTGGGCACCAGTTAGAATCCTGGCTGTTCCACTTCTGATTCACCTCCCTGCTAATGTGCCTGGGAAAGCAGTGGAAGATGGCCCAAGTCCTTGGCCCTTGCTCCCATGCAGGAGACCCGGAAGAAGCTCCTGGCTCCTGGCTTTGGATCAGCTCAGTTCTGGCTGTGGCGGCCATTTGGGGGGTGAATCAGTGGATAGAAGATCTCCCTCTCTCTCTCTCTCTCCCTCTTACTCTCACTCTCTCTGCCTCTGCCTCTCTCTGTAACTCTTTCAAATAAATAAATCTTTTAACAATTGCATTTGAAAGGCAAAAAGAGAGAGAAAGAGAGCACACAAAAAAAGAGAGATTTCCTACTGCTTCACTCCCTCAAATACCCACAACCACCAGGGCTGGGCCAGGCCAAAGCCAGGAACCCAAGGCCAAGTGGGTTTCCAAGTACTTGAACCCAAGAGCTCAAACCATCCGCCCTGCATACACCTGCAGTGCAGCTTCAACCACCTGCAGGTGCACCAGAGCCCGCTAAGGCAACGTTAAGTGCTGGTAAGTGGCTACACTGGCTGTTTAGGGACTGATGACAAGAGCCAGCCGCCTGGCAGGTCTAACGCGGAAGCTACAGCTTCCCCAAGCAGTCCTCAGTCCAATGTGTGCGTTCGGAGCCTGCCGCTCCCGGGGGCTGACCGGCAGCAGAGCTGCGGTTTATAAACAGCTCTGTGTGCTCCAGCGCCTGCCCGTCACCCTCTCAGCCTCGGTCAGTGCGATTCTGCTCGCCCATCGCTCAGCGGGGGCATTTTCCTTCTCCGTGACCTCAGATGGCTGCTCCCCCAGCAAACGGGTCTCAGCACACTCCCTGGAGGCCTTGCGGTAGTCTCCTGTGTCAGGCGTTCACCAAGTCCTGCTTTGGGTAAGCAGAAACGCGTGACCCGCGTCCCAGACCAAGGGGCGGATTTGTTCTTGTTTCTTCCAGCTCCTGGGGGCTCCCGGTATTCCCTGCCTCCAAGTGATGTCGTCCCTGGGCCTGCCTCTGTCTTCCATGGCCTTCTCCCTGATCTGCTGGAGTCTTCCAAGGACACCATCCCTGGGTGTGGTCCCTAGTATGCCCTCACCTTAACTGAACCCATTCCACCTGCACAGCCCCTATCTTCGAGAAAGTCACACTTGCCAGTGCCGGGTGCACGCGAAGTTTTCGCCAACGCCATTCCCTCAACCCAGACAGCCCCCGAAGGCAGAGCCCACCCCTCCGGCTGGGTTGGGCAGCAGTCACGAGCTTTCTTCCCCGCGAGATGAGCACCGTGGACGCCTCTGCACGTCCAGTGCCTGGCGAGGACCCAGCACAGAGCCCCAGGGAATCTAGGCAGTGACTGCGGGATACCGAAGCCCTGTGCAGTGTGTTTTGGAGAATCGGCCCTTATTTTAGCCCAGACACCCGTCGTTGCATAAGGCAGAGACCCGGCTCACGTTTCGGAAGGTGAACCTTATGTTCACAGCCTGCGATTCCTGCCAGGAGAGCCAGGCCTTACTTTCCGCACTGGTGAGCCCTTCTCTCATTTTAGCGAGGAAAACGCCCAAGTGCTTGGCCCAAGTCGGCACTCCGTAAATGTCTGTTGAACAAATCCAGCCAGATTTTTAAAACCAGCAGAGTCAAAGTCTTTCTACACTTTCTACACTTTCTCACCTGCCCCTGAAGGTGTGTGGATAGGAGACATGAAAGTCAGAGTCTCATTTCAGCTGCCGCAAGCTAAGTTCCGTATCGCCCAAGCCCAGGAAGCGCTGTGCTCACGAGAAGGCGCGGGTTCTGTCTGAAGGGGTCCGTGACTGCGGGTCCACACAGGATTTCAACACAACCTTGCAGCGGAAGGAACGCGGGAGATAAAGGCAGCAGCTGCCCCAGGAGTGGCAGCAGCAGCGCCGGCTGTGCTTCCTTATCCCTGCCGGCAGGAGGAACTGCTCCGGGCCGTCACCATGGCTCTGTCTTCCCCTGGTGCAAGACAGCAGCAGCACAGAGAGGCACAGACTGCCTCGTCCCACCACTGACCCAAACGGGCGTCCTGATCTTGGGCCGCTCCCTTCCCCCCACCAGGTCTCAGTTTTCCCATCTGTAAAATTGGAAGCATGGGGCCAAGCAAGGCTCTCCAAAGCCCTGCCCAACACGATGGCATTCTCCCTGCTGGCACCTCGACTTTAGAAGGTTGGGGTAGAGGCTGGTCTGTGGCACAGTGCGTTAACGCCCTGGCCTGAAGCCTCAGCATCCCATATGGGCGCTGGTTCTAGTCCCGGCTGCTCCTCTTCCAACCCAGCTCTCTGCTATGGCCTGGGAAAGCAGTACAAGATGGCCCAAGTCCTTGGGCCCCTGAACCCGCTTGGGAGACCCGGAAGAAGCTCCTGGATCCTGGCTTCGGATCGGTGCAGCTCTGGCCATTGCGGTCATCTGGGGAGTGAACCATCGGACAGAAGACCTCTCTCTCTTCCTCTTCTCTCTCTGTGTAACTCTGACTTTCGAATAAGTAAATAAATCTTAAAAAAAAAAAAAAAGAAGGATGGGGTGGTCTCCCTATCGGGTGAGCTCACACACACTTGTTGGGCCTAGACCCTCTTAGCTCCCAATTCTCCAGCCCTAGTAGTTCAGACACATTTCTCGGTGGCGTCCTGTGCACGGGTCTCATTTTCCCCCTAGGTGTTAACCAGCTCAACAAACATGAGGCAGGCAAAACGATCACATCTGCTCTCCTGCCAGCCCCCAGTTTTCTCCTAATGCTTCCTCCCGTCATCCCTCTACCTCATTATTTCTGCCAGGGAGGTGGCACACCCTTCCCACCTGGTAGCCCTGCTACACTACACACAGCTCAAAACGCCCTGTGGCTCCCAGTATACCAAACCCGTGCTGTAACTTCAGCCTCCCCGTGCAGGACTACGGCAGCAAAATGGGCTACTCCCAGTTCCCAGCCCCAGCCGGGCCTTCCCCACCTACAAAACCCCGCAATTAAGTCCCTGCTGAAAATGTTTGTCCCCAGGCGCATCGCTGTCAACGCCTTCGTGCGTCTGTCTCCCTTTGGACGCCAGAGGGCGCTCCAGGAACGGCCGACCTGGAGAGGCCGCGGCTCGGCAGCGAGGCTCTGTGGTTGCCCCGCCCCCTTTTCGTCAGAGCCAATCGCCCGTCAGAGCGGCCGGGGCGTCGCCCCATAGCTGCGCGCTAAGAGGGGCGCCGGAGACGCGGAAGCGGCCGTGCGGGGTCCGGGATGGGGTCTCCGGCGGCGCTGCTGCTGCTCCTGCTGCTGCTCCGGGCGGCCTCGTCGCGGGTCCGCTACACGCCGGACTGGCCGAGCCTGGACTCGCGGCCGCTGCCGGCCTGGTTCGACGAGGCCAAGTTCGGGGTGTTCGTGCACTGGGGCGTGTACTCGGTGCCCGCCTGGGGCAGCGAGTGGTTCTGGTGGCACCTGGACGGCGAGAAGCTGCCGCAGTACCTGCGCTTCATGAGCGACAACTACCCGCCCGGCTTCCAGTACGCCGACTTCGGGCCGCAGTTCACGGCGCGCTTCTTCAACCCGGACGAGTGGGCCAAACTCTTCGAGGCTGCGGGGGCCAAGTGAGTGTGGTTGCGGGCGGGCGGCGCGTGGGGGCGCGGGTCCGAGCTGCGGGCGCAGAGGAGGAGGTATGGCTGGCTGGCAATGTTAGAGATGCAGGCTTCCGGGGGGGGGGGTGTCGTGGGCCCCGCCCGCGCTCGGCTGTGGAGGGGCTGGAGCCAGGCGGAAGATGGGCGGGTGAGCCGGAGGCCAGGACGTTCGGACAGCGGTCACCTGTGGACCTGGGCAGGCACTGCAGCCCCCTGGGACGGCGCTGGGAAGGGGCTGCGCGCGCTCCTTCGGGCCCTGGTGCCCCAGGGTGGGAAGGGAGGGAGGCCGCGTCTGGGGCAGCTCTCCGCCTTCGGCTCCGTTCGTTGCCTTGGGCATACGACTTCCACAAGGGTGGCGGGGACGAGGCGTGGAGCTGTCTGCCACCCCTGCCTGGGCTCCTCCACCTGCTTCCCAGGCTGTAGGTTCTCTTGTACTGAGGAGAAATCGCACCTGGCGGGTAGCGTTTGCATTAGATGTGGGGGAGAGGAAGACCTGGATGGACAGGAAGGCTGTCTGCCTTCCCGGGCTCTGAGAGCTCAGAGCTTCCACATGAAATAAACAAAGTAAAATCTGGGACCCAGCCTCTGGCCAGGCCGTGTACACGAAGGGTGAGGCGAGGGCCCGGGGACAGGAAGGGACTAGTGTCTGGACGCCACCCACGTGGTGTGACCGGGGGGGGGGGGGGGGGGGGTCTGCGCCCAGGGACCCGTCCCTGCCGGGTTCTGCAGGGCTCAGGTAGTGATGATGGCTTTGACATTTTCCAAGAAGCAGCTGCTGCGAGAGGAATGTGCCCCATGAAACCCACCATGGAATTGGCCCCGGCATCCTGGAAGCCCCGCGCCAGCCAGCACAAGACTGAGGCTTGGCAAGACCAACAGCTTACGCCTCTGTCAGCTGTGTGCAGTAGAGGTCTTTCTCCTCCGGGGCAAAGGAAGAACATGTATAACCTGAAGGGTTGAGGATCAAAAGGCTGAGGTGCACAGCTCGCCTGGCCCCCTGCTCCTCCCTCCCCGGCCTCCTCCTTGCCTGAGGACTCCAGGTCCTGACTTCCTCCAGGTGGCTTCCAAGGGGTGGGAATCCAGCAGCGGCTTTGTGGATGCTGCTGATACAGCTGCTCACCCCCGCGCCCGAGCGCATCTCCCATGGGCGAGTTCTCAGCCTTTTTTTTTTTTTAAATAATTTTGCTTATTTTTTAAAAATATTTATTTATTTATTTGAAAGGCAGTTACAAAGAGAGGAGGAGAGACAGACAGAGAGATCTTCCGTCTGCTGATTCATTCCCCAAATGGCTACAATGGCCGGGGCCAAGAACTGCGTCCGGGTCTCCCACGTGGGTGCAGGGGCCCAAGGGCTTGGGCCATCTTCTGCTGGATCAGAAGTGGAGCAGCCAGGACTCAAACCAGCACCCATGTAGGGTGCCAGCATCGTAGGTGGCAGCTTAACCCTCAGTGCCACAACACTGGCCGCTCTCCCAGCCATTTTGAAAGCCCCGGGCCTGCTGGGCAAGTTCATGTTTGTGGCCTAGCGCTGTTGCTTATATGGTTTTCATGCCCACAGGTATGTGGTGCTGACGACAAAGCATCACGAAGGCTTCACAAACTGGCCAAGTCCTATGTCTTGGAACTGGAACTCTAAGAGCCTGGGCCCACATCGTGATGTGGTTGGTGAGTTGGGAACAGCCATCCGGAAGAGGTGCGTGTCTGCGTCCTCTCTCCTGCCCTAGCCGCCCTGAGTTTTGTGCCCTCTGCGCTGTTCTGTGCTGGGTTTGCATTGAGCAAGTAAGCCGCAGGGCCCCGGGCCACTGAATGAGCAGCCTTCGATGTGGTGGTCACGTGACCCAGAGGAACCCCGTCAGAGAAGTTCAGGGCCAAGTCTGGTCAGGTGAAGGACACCAGCATGGATCACGGGGCTCCACCTGCAGCCCAAGAGGGGTTCCTTCTGGGAAACGTCCAACCCAGAGCCTTTGCCCGCATCTGACGGAGGCCAGGGACCAGCTCTGTCCTCAGCCAGGCCTCTCTAGGCAGACGGGAAGTTAGGGTGACTGACAGAGCAAGCAGGGAGCGGAGGGGCAGCTGAAGTGAGCCGGATCCTGACTCAGGCGCACAACTTCCCAAGATCGGGGTGGGGCAGGGCGCAGAGGACTTGGAGCCCAGGTGTTTCTGCTTGGCCCGGCAGTCCGGGTAGGCTTGCCTGTCAGGAGGAGAATGACATTTGTGGCATTTCCAACTACAGCTCTGCTGTGATTTGCCAGAGTTGACATTCCATCTGAGGGGTCGGCGGCCGCCTGCTCTTGTAAGTCATGGAGTGTGGTTGGGCCCCAGCCTCACCGGTGCCCCGTGTTCACCCCCGTGGCTGCTCTCCAGGTGCGCTCTGAGAGTTGAGCTAGAGACTAGACGGCCTGCAAGGCCTAAAATACTACCTGGATGCTTGTTTAGATTTATTTATTTATTTATTTGAAAGCCAGAGTGTCAGAAAAGGGGGGTGGGGGTGAGAGAGAGAGCTTCCATCTGCTGCTTCACTCCCCAAGTGGCTGTAACAGCGGAGGCTGGGCCAGGCCGAAGCCAAGTGCCTGGAACTCCATCCCGGTCACCCACATGGATGGCAGGACCCCAAGTACTTGGGCCATCATTCACCGCCTCCCGTGTGCATTAGCAGGGACCTGGATGGGGAGCAGAGTAGCTGGCCCTCTGATACGGGATTCAGGAGTCCAGCGTGGCTGCTTAAACCGCTGTGCCAAAACCCCAGCCCTGTACCTCTAAGAGAGTGTAGGGCCTCCTGTGCCCTGGGCAGTGTTGCTTCCCAGAGCTGTGCTTTGCTAATAAGCCTGCTGGGTTGATTAGCTCTGGACTCAGAAGTCACATGGCTGTCTCTCTTGCAGGCATATGGTGAGTAACTGACTTCAGATCCTTCTTAGCTGTGCCATCGCGGGGTTATCCTTGTGTACTCAGTAACGTTTTGTAACACTGACCTGTTGTTGTTGTTGTTGTTGTTAAGGTTTGTTTGAAAGACAGAGTTAGAGGGAGAGACAGAGAACTTCCGTCTGCTGGCTCATTCCCCCAGATGGCTGTGACAGCCAGGCCTGGGCCAGGTAGAAGCCAGGAGGAGGTTCACACTCTGTCTGGGTCTCCCACGTGAGTGGCAGGGGCCCAAGTACCTGGACCGTCGTCTACTGCTTTCCTAGGTGCATTAACAAGGAGCTAGATCAGAAGTGGAGCAGCCAGGAAATTGAACAAGGGCTACAATGTGGGATGCTGATGTCGCATTGGGCTTAACCCAATGTACCACAACGCTGGCTCTCATACTATTTTTTTAATTGAAGCAATAATTGGACATGTTAATAAACTATATGTTATTGAGTTTTTTACTTAAAAGATGTGTGTTTAAGTTACTTTACTTTTTTTTTTAAGATTTATTTGAGAGGCAGAGTTACAGAGAGAGAGAGGTCTTCCATCTTCTGGTTCACTCCCCAAATGGCTACAATGGCCAGAACTGGGCATATCTGAAGCTGGGAACAAGCAGCTTCTTCCAGGTCTCCCATACAGGTGCAGGGGCCGAAGGACTTGAGCCATCTTCCACTGCTTTCCCAGGCCATTAGCATGTAGCTTGATTGGAAATGGAACAGCTGGGACACGAACCAGCACCCATATGCAATGCTGGTACTGCAGACAGAGGCTTAACCTACCACGTCATAACACCAGCCCTTTTAAATGACTTTGTGATGTTAAGTTATCTATGTATAAAAAGTAGTTAAATAGATTTTCAAAAACACAATAGACCCAATCTTTTTCTTAAGTGAATGATAAGAAATAATTTAAGGAGATAATTTTGGATTCTACCCCCCTGCATGCTATAGTAGGTGAATTTCAAGAAGCTATTAAAAAAAAACTGGAATTGATTTTTCTTAAAATTATGTGTTTGTTCTTTGCTTCCCAACAGTTTCTTTCCTGTTTTCTGTTCTAGGAACATACGATATGGACTGTACTACTCACTCATGGAGTGGTTCCATCCATTCTACCAACAGGATAAGAAAAATGGCTTCAAAACACAGTATTTTGTCAACACAAAGACACTGCCAGAACTGTACGACCTTGTTAACAAGTAAGGGCTGGAAGTGTTTGGTCTGATGACCTCTGGCAGTGAACTCAGACCTTCCTGATGACCTCTGGCAGTGAACTCAGACCTTCCCATGGGGTGCTATTCAAAAAGAGAGGCGGCAGGTTTAAAGAAAAAGTCTGAAAGACAGCAAAACGGTCAAAGTGATGGTTTGCATTAAGGCAAAATATTTTTTTTTTCCCAGCCAACTTTCCGCAGCGTCTCTTCCTTCTACTCTGGTCACACTGGAACAGACTGAGAGTTGTCAGGACTTCAGTTCCCTCCTTGTGTGGTGTTTTCCCTGCATCAGGACCTGGGGGGCGGTGTCAGGCGGCGTGTGTTACACGCATGAAGCAGCCCCCTGCCGGGCCTGAGCCTGTCGCCGTAGAGTGGGGATCGCAGAGCCTGCTGAGGAGGGCTCGGAATCACACACCAGACGTAGCTGTCACGCTGCCTGGTGCAAAGCAGGGTGCTGGTGGTGTTCATCTTTTTAAAAAAGTTTCTTCTTCTTATTTGTTTGAAAGAAATAAACAGGGAGAGAGCTCTTCCATCTGCTGGTTCAATCCCGGATGCCTGCAGCAGCAGGGCTGGGCCGGACTGAGGTCAGGAGCCAGGAACTCGCTCCACGCCTCCTGTGTGGGCGCAGGGACCAAGTACTTGAGCGGCACTGCTGCCTCCCTGGGAGCGCATCTGCACGAGCTGGAGCCAGAAGTGGAGCTGGGACTCAGCCTCGGGCATCCAAAGTGGCTTTGTGTTTGCTTTTGTTTTTAAGATTTAGTTCTTTATTTTAAATATTTATTTATTTATTTGAAAGACAGAGTTACAGAGAGGCAGAAAGAGAGAAAGAGAGAGAGGTCTTCCATCCGCTGGTTCACTCCCTAAATAGTCCCTACGGCTGGAGCTGCGCCGATCTGGAGCCAGGAGCCAGGAGCCTCCTCCAGGTCTCCCATGTGGGTGCAGGGGCCCAAGGACTTGGGCCATCTTCCACTGCTATCCCAGACCATAGCAGAGAGCTGGATCGGAAGTGGAGCAGCCAGGACTCAAACCTGTGCCCATATGGAATGCCGGCACTATAGGCAGATGCTTAACCTACTACACCACAGCGCCAGCCCCAAGATTTTATTTTTTAAAAGATCAATTTTGTTTATTTGAAAGACAGTTAGAGAGAAAGAGAGGGACAGAGAGGTCTTCCATCTGCTGGTTCACTCCCCAAATGACTGCAATGACCAGGGCTAGGCCCTATTTATTTATTTATTTATTTATCTATTTATTTGAAAGTCATAGTTACAGCAATTCCATACGGGTGCTGGTTTGAGTCCTGGCTGCTCCACTTCTGGTCCAGCTCCCTGCTAATGCGCCTGGAGGGCAGCAGAGGATGGCCCAAGTCCTTGGGCCCCTGCACCCACATGAGGGACCCGGAAGAGGCTCCTGGCTTTGGCCTGGCCCAGTCCTGGCTATTGTGGCCATTTAGGGAGTGAACCAGCAGATGGAAGACCTCTCTCTCTGTAACTCTTCCCTTTCAAATAAACAGAGCTTTAAAAAAAAAAGAAGTGTTGAAATCCATGCAGGTTTTTTTTTTTTTAACACGAGTGGACTTTTTGAAGACCTCATTGTATGCATGGATTTCAAAAAAATTTGTGCCAAAATAAATTTATCTTTTAATTCCACTTTCCATAAACTTTCTGAAGCACCCACATACATTGATTATAAATCTTTTTTCTTTTTTTTAAATTATTTATTTGAGAGGTAGAGTTACAGATAGAGAGAGGGAGAGTCAGAGAGCAAGGTATTCCATCCCCTGGTTCACTTCCCAATTGGCTGCAACAGTCGGAGCTGCGCCAATCTGAAGCCAGGAGCCAAGAGCTTCTAGGTCTCCCACATGGGTGGAGGGGCCCAAGGACTTGGGCCATCTTCTGTTTTCCAAGGCCATAGCAGCAAGCTGGATTGGAAGAGGAGCAGCCAGGGTTCATCCAGTGCCCATATGGGATGCCGGTGCTGCAGGTGGAGGCTTAGCCCCTGACACCACAGTGCCGGCCCCTATAATTCTTTTTTCTTTTTTTTAAGATTTATTTATTTATTTGAAAGAGTTACACAGAGAGAGAAAGAGAGGCAGAGAGAAAAGTCTTCCATCCCCAACTGGCTGCAATGGCCAGAGCTACACCAATCCAAAGCCAGGAGCCTGGACGTTCTTCTGGGTCTCCCACGCAGGTGCAAGGACTTGGGCCATCTTCCACTTCTTTCCCAGGCCACAGCAGAGAGCTAGATCGGAAGTGGAGCAGCTGGGACTCAAACTGGTGCCCATATGGGATGCTGGCATTGCAGGCAATGGCTTTAACCACTATGCCACAGTGCCGCCGCCCCCCCCCCCATAATTCTTTTTTCTAAAAAGAAATAAAAAAGATGAGGAGGGAATAAACCAAAACGCTGTTTGTCTTAGACAGCGGTTGCGTTAACAAGGTGATTTGTTGTGGTGTTGTCCCATCCTCTGCATTGTGATTTTGTACTTTCATAGTAGGGAAAATTAAGTTTTAAATATTTGCTGAAAAAAAGTCTGAACGCACTGACCCAGCAGTGGCATCGCGATCACCTGTCTTCCAGCTACAAGCCTGACCTGATCTGGTCTGACGGGGAGTGGGAGTGTCCTTACACCTACTGGAACTCCACGGAGTTTCTCGCTTGGCTCTACAACGACAGCCCTGTCAAGGTATGGATTACATAACTTACTTCTTTGTTTTTCTTCATTCTCTTTTTCAAGATTTATTTATTGAGGCCACATTGTGCCATAGCAGGTTAAGCCACCACCTACAGCGCTGGCCTCCCATTTAGGCACCAGTTTGATTCCCAGCTGCTCCACTTCCGATCAGCTCCCTGCTAATGGCCTGGGAGAGCAGTGGAAGATAGCCCAAGTGCTTGGACCCCCGCACCCATGTGGGAGACCCGGAAGAAGCTCCTGGCTTCAGCCTGACCCGGCCCTGGTCTTTGAGGCCATTTGGGGAGTGACCCAGCAGATTGAAGATTCTCTCTCTGTGTCTCTTCCTCTCTTTCTCTAACTCTGCCTTTCAAATAAATCTTTAAAATGGATCTTTAAAAAAAAAGATTTGTTTATTTGAAATTCAGAGTTACAGAGAGAGTGGGAGAGACAGAGAGAGAGAGAGAGAGAGAGATCTTCCGTCTGCTACTTCATGCCCCAGATGCCTGTAATTACTGGATTAGGTCTGGGCCAAAGGCAGGAGCCAGGAACTCAATCCGGGTTTCCCATGTGGGTGGCAGGGACCCAGGGGCTTGAGCCATCGTTTGCTCCCTCCCAGGATTCACATTGGCAGGAAACTAGAATCAACAGCAGAGCCAGAACTCAGAACCAAGTACTTGGATGTGAGAGGTGGGTGTCTTTTTTTTTTTTTTTTAAGATTTATTTATTTAAAACGCAAAGATAGAGAGAAGGGTGAGAGATCTTCCATCCATTGATTCACTCCCCAAATGGCTGCAACAGCCGGGGCTAGGCAGGTCCAAAGCCAGGAGCCAGGAACTTCCTCTGGATCTCCCACGTGGGTGCGGGGCCTGAGTACTTGGGCTGACTCCCACTGCTTTCCCAGGCACATTATCAGGGAGTTGGATCAGAAGTGGAGTAGCTGAGTAGCCTATAAGCGATGCTGGCACTGCAGACAGGGGCTTAACCTTTAAAAAAAAAAAAAAGATTTATTTATTTATTTATTTATTTGAACGGCAGAGTTACAGAGAGGCAGAGAGAGAGAGAAAGAGAGGTCTTCCAAACTCTGGTTCACTCCCCCAGATGGCTGCAAAAAAACCTAGATCTGTGCCAATCCAAAGCCAGGAGCATCTCTGGGTCTCCCACACGGGTGCAAGGGCCCAAGGACTGGGCCATCTTCCACTGTTTTCCCAGGCCATAGCAGAGAATTGGGTTGGAGGTGGAGCAGCTGGGACTAGAACCAGCGCCCACATGGGATGCTGGCACTGCAGGTGGTAGCTTTACCCACTACGCCACAGCGCCAGCCTGAGGCTTAACCTTCTAAACCACAGTGCCAGCCCAGAGAGGTGGGTGCCTTAACCAACTTTTTTTTTTTTTCTTAAGATTTATTTATGTATTTGAGAGAAGCAGAGAAAGAAAGGTCCTCTAGCCACTGGTTCACTCCCCAAATGGCTGCAACAGCCAGACCTGGGCCGATCCGAAGCCAAGAGCCAAGAGCTTCTTCAAGGTCTCCCATGCAGGTGCAGGGGCCCAAACACTTAGGCCATATTCCACTGCTTTCCCAGGCCATAGCAGAGAGCTGGATCAGAAAAGAAGCATCGGAGACTGTCGCTCCCCGTCTTCATGGAGGAATGACACTAAACCCTGCCTAGGCTTCATATCCGAGTCACGGCACCATTATGTCGCTCCCCGTCTTCGTGGAGGAGCGACACTGAACCCTGCGCTGTTCTTTCATCTGCTCGGTCCTCCCCGGGTTTGCTGCTGGTTCTTCCCGGGTTGGCTACCGACCCTTCCACCTCCGTGGAAGGGCGGTTCCCCCTGCCACATTCCCCACTTCCGCAGGGGAGCGGCACACCGCCGGCCGGCTCTCTCGGGGGCTGCACAGGTGTTCCCCTTAGATGTTCCTGGTGCATGCCGTCTCTCTCCTCCTTTATAGTCCTCCTCCGCCAATCCTAACTCGGCTGCCCACACGCCGAGTACGCTGCTCTCCTCCAATCAGGAGCAGGATCAGCTCCTGGAGGTCATCACTCAAGTTGGCAAGAGGCAGCTGCGTAGAAGCTGTTTTCTTCTCTCCCAGCGCCATATTGTGGGAGAGCAGATGCATAGAATAAGTCTTAATTCCAGTAACTTAGTCCAGTCCGGGTTGCTCCCCACAGGAGACTAGAACCACTGCCCAAATGGGATGCCAGCATTGCAGGCAGAGGCTTAGCCTGCTAAGCCACAGTGCTGGCCCCTTAAGTTTTAATTTAATCTCCTTTTGTTATGATGAGTACAAAGTGTTTTCAGTTATTTCCTTGTGTTGGCCACCCTGTTATAAAATTTGCGGCTGTGTTGGATGTTTACATTCAGATAGTCCATAGTTCAGCTAAACCTTGAGGGGAGGAGGAGAACATTTGACTGTTAACTTCTCTTGAGCTCAGCAAAGAAAGCAGTGTAGTGGACACCAGGTTCTCAGCTTACAAAACTGCCCAGCGTGACCTCAGACAAGTCCTGTCCCCTCTGTTTCCCTTCCAACACAAGCATGCTTCAGGAAGCTCATGAAAAGTGCAATCAGGAGATATTTATTTTGGCACACAATTTGAAATCCATGCATATTTTTTTCTCATGTGCCTTTATTTAAAAAAGAATTTATTTATTTATTTATTTTAAAGGCAGAGTTACAGAGAGACAGAGAGAGAGAGAGAGAGAGAAATCTTTCATCTGCTGGTTCACTCCCCAAATGGCCACAGTGGCCGGAACTAGGCTGATCTGGAGCCAGGAGCCTCCTCCAGGTCTCCCACACATTTGAGCCATCTCCTACTGCTTTCCCAGGCCATAGCAGAGAGCTGGATCAGAAGAAGAGCAGCCAGGACTCGAATTGGCACCCATATGGGATGCCAGCACAGCAGGTGGCGGCTTTACCTGCTATGCCACAGCGCTGGCCCCTTTCATATGCCTTTTTATTAAAGTTTTCCAACATAATATTATCTAGAGGGCCCAGCGCCATGGCTCACTTGGCTAATTCTCCACCTGTGGTGCCGGCATCCCATGTGGGCGCCGGGTTCTAGTCCCAGCTGCTCCTCTTCCAGTCCAGCTCTCTGCTGTGGCCCGGGAGGGCAGTGGAGGATGGTCCAAGTGCTTGGGCCCTGCACCCACATGGGAGACCAGGAGGAGGCACCTGGCTCCTGGCTTCAGATCAGCACAGCACGCTGGCCGTAGTGGCCATTTGGGGGGTGAACCAGCGGAGGGAAGACCTTTCTCTGTCTCTCTCTCTCACTGTCTGTAACTCTACCTGTCAAATAAATAAATAAATAAATCTTTAAAAAATATTATCTAGAATTAAGGTACGGAATTAGATTCCAGAAAATGCCAAAAACCATTTGGTCAAAAGTTTAAAAAGCAAACACTTCCTTCTCCATTCCTTAGACAAAAAAAGGACTGGTTGGACCAGTGTGACCAATATGACCTTTAACCTACCTTAATATTTCCATTCATTTGCATTTCAGTTTAGCTTACACAGCCTTGAATGCAATTTCCTTGTGAAGGCTTCTCCTAAAAGGACACTAGCACAAAACACTAGGCAGACACTCTTTCAAGTTTTATCTCACTAACTTCAGTCGATTTCCACAACTGTTGTCTGGTCAGTTTACCGTCCTTGCTTGGCTTCCCAGAGCAGTGGCACCAGAAGGGAGGAAGAGAGGAAGAGACTGCTTCCGGAGGCACTGCACCTCGGCGGCCTCCGCGCGGCAGCAGGGTGGACATCTCAATGTCCAGCAAAACAAAGCTTTAAGTGGCTCCCATTGTCAGGATCGGACCAGAGCAAACCTGCTCCGCACGGATGTAAAAGCTGCGGGTGCGCTCCTTTCTCTGTGCTGACATTTCTCTCCTTTAATCATCGTGTCATGTGGTTCCTCGAGTCCTGCTTTAGTTCATCTCCCGTGTGCACAGGTAGGCTGCACGTGCCAAGCTCCGTCCCCCATTGCTGACAAGAGAGACCTGTGTTCCCTGGTCTTGTTTATTAGCACAGGGACTGCTTGATGTTCTGCTGTCCTGGTTATTTTGTGGAGTTCAGGTCTTGCATCTTCCATCCTTTCAACATCAACCGAGCCCACACCGAGCACAGTGCCATCTGTGCCCGTGGTGTAAGACTTCCGTGGTGGCCTTAATTTCTCCTGGCCACCTACATCCCAGAAGTGAGGAGTAACTATTTTAGAATTTCCCAAGGTTACCCCAGTCGTCTCAGTGTCACACCCTTTGGTAAGTACAGTATTTACAAATTTGTTGAAGTATAGCCCCTAGAAGACAGTTAACTTTCCCGCACAGTCCAAACCCAGAACGCCAGGTGGAAGGATTGAAACGGGAGCAGGCTGGACAGGATGCAGGTCTGCCCTGACAGTCCAGTTTCCTTTTCCAGCTGCAGGTGAGTGTCCCAGAAGGAAATGCTTTCTTCTTACTGCTTTACAGTTTCTTGTCCTGGTGGGTTCAGCCACATGACGGCTGCTTGGGAGGCCTCTGGTAGCTGTCCAGGGCCTCGGTGCGCCGGGCCGCCCCAGTGGCGCCTGTTCCGTGCACAGTGATTTCATAGTGCACATGTTCATAAGTTTGTTGAAGGACCCTCATATGAATGAATTTTCTTTTTCTCTTTAATTTTTTATTTATTTCCACTTTGCTTGAAAGAAGCAGAGACAGACAGAGATCTCTCCACTGATTAACTCCCCAAATGCCCACAACAGCCAGAGCTAGGCCAGGCCGAAACCAGGAGCCCAGAACTCAGTCAGGGCCTCCCATGTGGGTGGCAGGGACTCAGATCTTGAACCAGCACCTGCCGCCTCCCATGATGCACATTAGCAGGAAGCTGGAGTCAGGAGCAGGGCTGGAACCCAGACGCTCTGATATGGGATGCAGGTGTCCCAGTTAAATATTTATTTATTTGAGAGAGTTACAGAGAGAGAGAGAGTCCATCTACTAGTTCACTCCCCAGAGGGCCACAAAGGCCAAGGCTGGGCCAGGCTGAAGCCAGGAGATTCCACATGGGTGACAGGGACCCAAACATGTGTGCTACCTTCCACTGCAAGAAACTGGCTTGGAAGTGTAGCAGCCACGACACAAAGTGGTGCCCATATGGGATGCCAGCAGCGCAACAGGTTTACCTGCTATGCCACAATGCCTGCCCCTTCAGACAGCATCTTAACTGCTGAGCCAAGAACCTGCTGCAGACTTCAGGATTTTTTTTACCAAAATAAGCTTACCTTTCAGGCAAGCTCTTGGCTTTGCAATCAAGATGCCCATTAGAACACCCACCCATCTCTCATATCAAAGGCCTGGGTTTGCTACCCGGCTCCATTCCTGACTCCAGCTTCCTGTTAATGCAGACCCTGAGGGGCAGCGCTGATGGCTCAGGTTAACTGTGGTCCTGCCACTCGAGCAGGAGACCTGGGTTGTGTTCCTGGCTCCCGAGATGAGATGAATCCCCCAGCCTGGGCCACTGTGGGCGTTTGGGAGTAAACCGGTAGATAGGAGTGTCCTCTCTCTCCCTCCCTCTCGCTCTCGCTCTCTCTCTCCCTGTGCCACTCAAAGATCTCTAAAAAGAATGAAAACTGTTTTCTGTTGATTGCATCCTCCATGGAGGTTTTGAAGTCCCCTTGTAGGAGGTTTGCCGGGTGATCTTTAAAGCACTGCCCGGCCCCGACCCACACCTCTGGATCCGGGTTTCTCAGCCTCAGCGCCATCAACATCGGGGGCTGGGCATTCCCTTGAGAGGGGCTGCCCCGTGTCCTGTAGGACCTTTTACAGCATCTCTGCTCTCTGCCCACTGGCCCCAGTGGCATCAACACAGTCGTGATCACCCCGAATGTCTCCAGGCTTTGCCAAATGTCCCCTCCAGGGAAACCATCCCCAGCTCCAGACTGTCGGCCCCTGGCTTCTGAACCGACTCAGCCTGTCACAGTGCGTGATGTAAACAAGCGGGCAGGGCAGCTAACTCCGGGTGCTCCTCCCTCCTCTAGGATGAGGTGGTGGTGAATGACCGATGGGGTCAGAACTGCTCCTGTCGCCACGGAGGGTACTACAACTGTCAAGATAAGTACAAGCCGCAGGTCTTGCCGGATCACAAGTGGGAGATGTGCACCAGCATCGACAAGGCGTCCTGGGGCTATCGTCGCAACATGGTGTTGTCGGACATCACCAGCGAGTCCGAAATCATCTCTGTAAGAGTGCCTGGGCACGAGCTGTTGTTTTTAACTACCGGCTCCTTGCCACGCCCACGCCAGCTCCGCCCCGCCACCCCCGCCCCCTCCCCCCTGCAGCGGGTGCTCCCCTCCGGCCCCCTGGTCTCCGGGCCGGTCAGTCCCCGTGTTCCCTGCCCAGCTGTCCCTCGGGCTCTGACACCATGGGCTTCCGAGACCATGCTGCTGCCCGCTGCGGCTGGGCACCCCCCAACCGGGTCCATCCGTTTCTCCATCTTTAGCCAGGGTTTTTCAGGTTTCCTGTATGAGTCTGTCCACCTTTTTACAATGGCGGGAAATAGACAGTATTGTTTCTACACCAAAGGCTGCCCGCAGCAGGGAGGGTCTGCCCGGAGTCTGCTCGCGGCATAACGGGCCCGGGTCTCTGCCCCTCCAGGAACTGGTGCAGACGGTGAGTCTGGGAGGCAACTACCTTCTCAACGTGGGCCCCACCAAGGACGGGCTGATAGTGCCCATCTTCCAAGAGAGACTCCTGGCCGTGGGGAAGTGGCTGAGCGTCAACGGGGAGGCCATCTACGGCTCGAAGCCGTGGCGCGTGCAGCTCGAGAAGAACGTGTCGGCGTCCGTGTGGTGAGTCGTCCTCGGCCGTCGCAGCACGGGGACCGTGGCCCGCGCCCCGCGCCGGGCGGCCATGGGTCCGCAGCGCCGCCAGCCAGGCTGGAAGGCCTCTCTCAGGCTATAAGTCGTGTGCCCCAGCACGTCTTTGACGAGGGAGTGTGGAAAGGGGAGGAGCCACGAAGCGCAGTCCATGTGACTGTGACCGTGACCTTGCCGCCGAGGTTAGTAACGGTTAGTTACCTTCACAGGGTTACTAACTACAGTAGTAGTAGTAACTACTAACAGTAGTTATAACTACTTCACAGGGCCGTTTGAGGATTAAATGAAACCGTGTAGGTAAAGCATCCGCGAGTGCCAGGCTGTGTCCCGAGGAAGGCAGCTGCGGGGTTACGGCGGCGCACGCCGGCCTGCAGATCCCCGTGCCGGATGAGTTTCCATTTTCTCCTCTCACCGTCCGCGTGTGCCCTGGCCCTGTTGCACCCTCCACTAGTTTCCCATGGGTTTGGGGTTGAAAAAAGAGGGTGAACGGCTCCAGTCTGAAATAAGCGATAGGAAGAGTTAATTTTAAAGGAAGACTCAACCTAGAAGAGAGGGAAGATGGACGGCGCCAGAGGAGCTGCGCTGCCTGCGTCCCCGCTGCAGACGCGGGCCTCGCACTGCCCGTGCTCCCCAGTGGGCCGTGCACTTGGGACTCAGTGACGGGGCGGGGGGGCGGCCTGCCGTTCCTTCTCAGGACACTGTGACACCGACGCTGGCTTTTTCCCAGGTACACCTCGAAAGGACCAGCCGTGTATGCCATTTTCCTGCACTGGCCGGAAGATGGAGTCCTACGCCTGGAGTCCCCTGTGCCTACCTCATTTACAAAGGTGGGGTGCCTCTGCTGGGCCTTCCTGGGGTGCAGCCTTGCCCAGAGCAGTTGGCACCCCCTGCTGCGTCCCACCCCTTCCCCCGTCTCTCCCGCCTTGCCTTGCGCTGTTTTGAGGCTGCCCCGCCCCGCCCTGCCCTGCCCTGCCCTGCTCGGCCCAGCCCGGCCCGCCCCACCCCGCCCCGCCCGGCGCTCTCTAACACTGCTTCCCTTTTGCCGTCTGCAGATGAAGATGCTTGGGGTCCAAGCGGAGCTGAAGTGGACTGTGAGCCCCGGGAAGGGACTCCTGATTTCCCTGCCCGCACTGCCACTCCCTGCTCTTCCGGTGGAGTTTGCCTGGACAGTGAAGCTGAAAGGAGTGCTGTGAGCGTGCTGGCCGGGGCAAGGGGGCCCTGCGGTGCTGCCCTGGTTCCTTCCCTCTCGGGACCGCACCGCAATAAACGCTTCTCCCTGCCCAGACGTGGCTTTGCCAACACACATTCATCAGATGAACTGAGTGCGTGACAGATTTCTTAATGATCCAAGATCCTAGTGCGATCCATGGCCTTATCCCTCTGAGCGGCCAAAGAAGGCACCGAACAGTTAACCCCTCCGCTCCCATGCTTGGGCATCACCTACAGTGGAAACCTCGCTCTGTGTGGGATACCCGGCCTCCTTCCTCCGGGACTTCAGATCAAGAAGCAGCCAAGTCCACCTGCTGCTGCTCGAAGGAGGGGGAAAGGGTTTGGCAAACTCAGCCACCGCCAAACTCCTCCCGCAAGGGGCAGGACGGGGTCCGCAGGCTGCTGCTGTCTTCCGGAGCACCCAGGGCCCCGAACCTCGGCATGTGAACCTCGGTGTGCGAACCTCGGTGTGCATACGGCTACACTGTCACAGTGACCGCTGCCATTCTGCCTTGCCTTGAAATCAAGTAAATAAACGTGTGTGTCAGATCACCCGGGCCAGAACGCGTGCTGTAGGATCCTTCCCCGGTGTCAGTGTGGGCTGCTTGCAGCTCTGTGGCCAGCGCCTGGTCGGTGTGTTTGACACAGCAGCTCACGGGTCTAGCATTCTGCCGGTTCTCTGCGCCTCACCTGCAGTGCCGGCCCTCCGAGTCGACCACCTGTTCCACCTCTTCAGTTCTAGGTCTCAGCAAGTTCTCTTTTATTTGATAAATATGCATCAAAATCTTTACATAGGGATTGTATTTTTCTTAAGCATGTGTGGGACACCTGCAAATCTCAAGTAATGAACTGGTGTCCTAGAGACAACATAATTCAAGGATAATAACAGAAACTCAGATGGGAAAAAAAAACTAAGGCAAATGCATAGTGTGAAATGTTTGTGTTGAAGAGGCTGGAGTTTAACGAGCTATCTTGTGGAAGTGGCACGGGGCACCCGGTGGATGGGCGAGTCCCTAGCTAAGGGCAGTAAAACCCTCCCAGATCTGCCCAGAGATGCAGAGTACCTAATGGGGGTTGGGGGGAGACCAGTGGGACCTTGGGAAGACAAACACCCTAACCCTCAGGGGGCTGCCGTTTGGTGGTGATCTGTGGCCCCCTCGGCTCGCCGTCCCTGCTGCAGCCTGAGCCCCTGCTGGCCTGCCCACAGCTCCCCTGCAGCGTGTTAAGCCCCGCTCCGTGCCCTCTCTCACCTGCTCCGGTGAATTCTTTGATCATCCACATCGATGACGGAAGTCAGTCGCTTCCTGAGACGCTATTCCCTGTCCACGTAAAGACAGTCCAGAGAAAGCAGAGATAATGAAACTGAAAGCAGACACCACAGGAACTGTGGTGATCCCTGAGAGGGAAGCTTGATTCTTGGGTGCACCAGCAACGCAGAAACCAAGACGGGGCTGGCGCTGTGGCCTAGCGCGTAAAGCCGCTACCTGCGACGCTAGCATCCCATATGGGCGCCAGTACATGTCTTGGCTGCTCTGCTTCCATCGCAGCTCCATGTTAAAGCGTCTGGGAAAAGCAGCAGAAGATGGCCCAAGTGCTTGGGCCCCTGAAACCCGCGTGAGAGACACAGACTTTGGCCTGTCCCAGCCCCAGCTGTTGCAGCCATCTGGGGAGTCTCTCTCTCTCTCTCTCTCTCTCACTCTGACTTTCAAATAAATTTTTTTTAAAAAATGGAGATAATGCACAACTTAATCTCATGTAGTTTTTAAAGAAGATTATGGATGATTTTGTTCCAATAAAATTTAAAAGGAACAGGGGTCGGAGCTGTGGCTTTCTTAGGTTAATCCTCTGCCTGCATCGTTGGAATCCTATATAGGTGCCTATTGTTCTGGCTGCTCCACTTCCGATCCAGGTCTCTGCTATGGCCTGGGAAAGCAGTAGAAGATGGCCCAAGTTCTTGGGCCCCTGTACCTACGTGGAAGACCCTGAAGAAGCTCCTGGCTCCTGGCTTCGGATCAACCCAGCTCTGGGATTTGCAGCCATTTGGTGAGTGAACCAGCAGGAGGAAGATTTCTCTCTCTCTCTCTCTCTGTCTCTCCCTCCCTCTTTCTGCAACTCTGCCTCTCAAATAAATAAATAAATAATCTTTTAAAAAATTTTAAAGGAGCACATTACTAAAAATTAACAGCACAGTGGCTTAAGGAGAAAGAGAAAACTTGAATGTCCTCTGAGGCTTAAAGAATCTGAATCAGTAGCAAACAATCCTCCTGCCAAAGAAAAAAAAAATAATAACACCAGACCCTTGGTTTCAGAGGGACCCGTGCAGAACTTCCCCTGGGTTTGGATACTTTAGTAACCCTGACACCAGAGCCGAGTGAGAGTAAAATAAAAGGATTGCCCTATCTGTTCATGATTAGGGATGCATCCAGTTCTAAGAGTTTCAGCAAACCAAAGCCAGCGTCCAGCAAAGCAGCGTGTTGGGCTGACATATGGCACAGTGGGTTAAGCTGTCATTTGTTACACGAGTGTTCCATGTCAGAGTACTAGCTGGGCTCCCAGCTGTTCCACTTTGGATCCAGCTCCCTGCTAATGCACCTGGCAAGGCAGCAGATGATAACCCAAGTGCTTGGGCCTCTGCACCCATGTGGGAGACCCAAATGGAGTTCCAGGCTCATGACTTCAGCCTGTCCTGCTCTCTCTTGTCTCTCCCTCTCTCACTCTGCCTTTCAAATAAATAAATAAAATAAACTGGGTTGTCTTTAAAAAAAAAAAAAAAGTTTACATTTCAGAAATTCAACTTGCTTCCACATAAGAAAAACTATCAGTGAATTCACAATAACAGGAAAACATGCTATTTCCATTATTTCAGAAAAAAATTTTGATGCAATCAAAGCACATTTGTGATTTTTAAAAAAGACTTTGCAAAGCAGGGCTGTAAGTCAGTGCATATTAACAACTTAGAGCAAACAGACCTTGAGGTGAGATGGTTGTTTATTGGTTGAGGGACAAATGCCTTCTTAGCCAGAGCTGGGCCAGGCCAAAGCCAGGAGTCAGGAACTCTGTCTTCCACTTGGGTGGCAGGGACTCCAGTACTTGCTGCCTTCCCAGGCAGTTAGCAGGAAGCTGGATCAGAAGCGAGGAGTCGGGACTCCAGCTGGCTCTGGTACGGGATGCTGGCGTCCCAGGCGGCAGCTTAACCCCCTCTACCACAGCCCTGGACCCACACTGACCTTTGAGTTCCAGCTCTTCTTACTTACAAACTTCGTCACCGAACACAGATCGCCCTAAGCAGCAAATTCCCACTGCCTCTCGGGACACCCATTAGCAGAAAGCTGGAATCGGAAGTAGAGCCAGGACTCAGATCTAGACGCTCTGATGTGGGACGCACTTGTCCCAAGTGGCACTTATAATGGCAATGCCAAACATCCAGCCCAGAGAGGAGCTATGAGAAGCAAGGTTTCCCTGTGAGGAATGAGAAGGTGCCCAGATCACCGTGTGCAGTGTTGATGGGAAGTCTCGGTAGACCCAGGAAAACACAAGAAATAAATAAAGGGTGTAGGGGCCAAGCTGCCATTATCCACTGACAATACAACCGTCCACATAGAAGATGGGACACACCAAGGAGTTATCAGAATTAGTGGGATGCTTTAGCAAGTGGCTAGATCTGTACACAGAAACCTACTGCATTTCTATAACCCAATACTAGAAAACAATGAAAAAAATCCTGTTTACCATAACAAGGCACAAATAATGCTGCTGCAATAAAACTAAGAAAAGTTGTTCCAGAGACCTCCAAGCGGTGGAGCCCCAAGGGCCCTAGGGTTAAAACCGCCATTTCCTGCCAAGAGGAAGAAGCAGAGCTGAAAAGATGGTGCCAGGCTGGCTTCTAAGAGCTACTGGAGGGGCTGGTACTGTGGCACAGGGGGTAAAGCCACCACCTGCAGTGCCAGCATCCCATATAGGCGCCGGTTCAAGACCCAGCTGCTCCATTTCCGATCCAGCTCTCTGCTATGGCCTGGGAAAGCAGTGGAAGATGGTCCAACTTCTTATGCCCCTGCACCTGCATGGGAGGCCCGGAGGAAGCTCCTGGCTCCTGGCTTCAGATCGGCACAGCTCTGGCCATTGCAGCCATCTGGGGGAAGACACCTCTCTCTCTCTCTCTCTCTCTCTCTCTCTCTGCCTCTCCTTCTCTGTGTAACTCTGACTTTCAAATAAAGAAATCTTAAAAAAAAAAAAAAAAAAAAACTACTGGAAGTTTTCTGCCTCAAGCTCAATGGTTGCGATGTCTCCAGCAAGTACCATTGGGTGAATCTATGAATAGATTCAACTCCCGGCAAAATGGCGGCCCCATGTTCTCAGTTCTTAAGTCTTCCAGAAGATACCAAATAACTGGAGTGCTTTAGGATCCAAGTCCAGAATGGTTGTCATGGAGAAGAGTAGATCCAACTCCCTGAAAACGTAATGCTAACGTGTGGCCCCAACTCTCAGTCTTCAATATTGCACCCATTGTCTCATGTAAACCCAAGCTCTTGGGTGCTATTGAAGAATGGCTGGTATGAAAACCAGTAGACCCAACTCCTTTCAAAACTGAGTCCCGGGGGCCAGCGCTGTGGCTCACTTGGTTAATCCTCCGCCTGTGGCACTGGCATCCCATATGGGCGCCGGGTTCTAGTCCCGGTTGCTCCTCTTCCAGTCCAGCTCTCTGCTGTGGCCCAGGAGGGCAGTGGAGGATGGCCCAAGTGCTTGGGCCCCTGCACCCACATGGAAGAGCAGGAAGAAGCACCTGGCTCCTGGCTTCAGATCAGCACAGCACCCGCCGTTGCGGCCATTTGGGGAGTGAACCAGTGGAAGGAAGACCTTTCTTCTCTCTCTCTCTCTCACTGTATATAACTCTGCTTCTCAAATAAATTTTAAAAAATGAGTCCCAAAATGTGTCCCCAACCCCCACCTAATTGTCAATGTTACAGCCAATGTCTGGGGTAAATCTGGCTGTTGGGTTTGACTTCATGATGGTTCTGCTAGATGGGAAGATAGAAATTAGCCTGTGTGTGCAAAGGGGCCAAAGGAAAACAAAGCACCCATGGAAAGGAATGTAGAAGCACACCTAGGAAGAAGCCCAGAACTTTACCCTACAAAGTCCTGCCCATACCCCCAACAGCTTTATTGGTGGCCCCAGCCTTCCCCCCCTCTGCCTTGAAAATCACCCCAGGAGAATCCTCTCTGCCCAGCACCGGATGGGCTCCTCAGTCTTATAACACTGAGCAATAAAACCTTGGGGGGCTGGGGCTGTGGCACAGTGGGTTAAAGTCCTGGCCTGTAGTGCCGGCATCCCATGTAGACACTGGTTTGAGTCCCAGCTGCTCCACTTCTAATCCAGCTCTCTGCTGTGGCCTGGGAAGGCAGTGGAGGATGGCCCAGGTCTTGGGTCCCTGCACCCATGTAGGGGACCCGGAAGAAGCTCCTGGCTCCTGGCTTCAAATCAGCCCAGCTCTGGCCGTTGCAGCCATCTGGGGGAGTGAACCAGCGAATGGAAGACCTCTCTCTCTGTCTCTACCTCTCTCTGTAATTCTGTCTTTCAAATAAATAAAATAAATCTTAAAAAAAAAAAAAAACCTTGGGAGGAATGTTCACTCGTTTCACACCCGGGAACCCTTTGTTCAGGAGACCAGGATGAGGGGAAGGAGAAATGGCAGGCAGAAGTGGGCCCCACACCCTTAGAAACCCTGGTCTCAGTGACTGGACGCTCTCAGGGCTGTCTGGAGAGGGCCCCTCCATCCCGATGGATGCACTGCCTCATCGAACTGAGCTTCCTTGCTTACCACTACTCTCTGTCTCAGAAGTAGCCAGGACTCGTACCAGCGCCTCCGATGGAGACTTAACCTGCACCACAGCACCGGCCTCAATTCTTTTTCTTGTGGAAAGATAAGAACTTCTATTCTAGTCACCTCCACTCACATCTTCAATGGAGACAGATAATTCCTTATAAAATCAAGTCCCAGGGCCGGTGCTTATAGGTTGAGCCTGCGCTTACAGCACCAGCATCCCATAGAGGTGCCAGTTTGTGTTCTGGATGCTCCTCTTCCCATCCAGCTCTCTGCTGATGGCCTGGGAAAGCAGCAGAGGATAGCCCAAGTGCTTGGGCCCCTGCACCTGCATTAGAGACCCGGAAGAAGCTCCTGACCCCTGGCTTCAGATAGACTCAGCTCCGGCCATTGTGGCCATTTAGGGAGGGAATCAGCAGATGGAAGAACTTTCTCTCTCTCTCTCTCTCTAACTCTGCCTCTCAAATAAATACATAAATCTGTTAAAAAATTCAAGTCCTAAGCTGCGTCCAACTCTAAGATGTCCAGATTGCGTCTACCGGCGTCTGGAGTCTCTTGTGATGTTGGACGTGATTCCGATTCACAGCTGCGGAATCTGTTAGATGGTGATGATGGACACGGATCGGTCCAGTTCCTTACAAAGTCAGTGTCCATGGTGTGATGCTTCCAATCCACCTCCCTGACGAAGTGGAGTAACTCTGTCCGTGCAGTTTGGTCGGCCAGGGGGGTTTCCTGTGTTGACACGTGATGGACCCTCACAAAATGGAGGTCAAAGTGTGTCCAGACTGTAGCAAGTGCCTGTAGGTCTGCACTCAGTAAATCCACTCGGAAGCTCTCTCAAGTGGAGACAGTAAATTGGAGCCTTACAAGATTTACTCTCAAATGTCTACAGTAGTTCAGTGTGGAAACTACCAAGTGTATTAGCTCTTTGTTACTATAGCGAAATGCTAGAGACAAATAAATTTATAAAGAAAAAAGGTTTATTTGGCTCACAGTTTGGGGGGTTCAAATTCTAAGATCAGGTAGCTGCATTTTTTTTTTCATTTTTATTTGAAAGAGAACTTCCATTCACTGGATCACTCCCCAAATGCCCACAATAGCTAGGGCTGAGCCAGGCCAAAGCCACAAGCCTGGAACTCAATCCAGGTCACCCACACGGGTGGCAGGGATCCAGATATTCGAGCCGTCCTTTGCTGCCTCCCAGGATGGGCATTAGCAGGAAGCTGAATAGGAAAGGAGCCAGCTCTCCCGTGTAGGTTGTGGGCATCCCAAGCAGCATCTTTGTTTTAAAGATTTATTTACCTATTTGAAAGTCAGAGCTACAGAGAGGGAGAGACAGACAGATCTTCCATCCGCTGGTTCACTCCCCAGATGGCCGCAATGACCAGTGCTGGGCCAGGCCGAATCCAGGAGCCAGGAGTTTCTTCCAGGTCTCCCCCAGGCGTGCAGGGGCCCAGGCACTGGGGCCATCCATCACTACTTTTCCCAGGCCACTGTCTGGGAGCCGGATGGGAAGTGGTGCAGCCAGGACACAAACTGGGATGCTGGCATCGTCACAGGTGGTGGCTTCACCTGCTTTGCGACAATGCCAGCCCCAAGCAGCCTCTTAACTACTGCTCCAAGTGCCCACCCCGAAGTCAGGCTTCTAGAACAACCATCTCATGAGAATTACCCTCCAAGGGCACGATGCCAATGACCCGGGGCGTCTCCTAGGCCCTACCCCTTCAGGTGCCACCTCCTTCCAGCAGCGGCACCCTGGGAACCAAGCCTGCTGAGGATCTTTAACTCTCACACCACAGCGCCAGGACAGGCCAGGACAGCAGGAATGAAGAGTGGATTGAACCTCTTAGAAAACTGAGGCCCAAGGTCTGTGTCAACGCTTCACCCAGGGGCCACGGAGGCCTCTCACTTCCGTTCGCCATGTAGTTCTAGTGTGAACAATTATTCTTGCACCATGCTTATCTAAGGAAGCTGTCAAAGGGGACCCCTGGAGGCAAGCGCCTAGTGCAGCAGTGGAGACCCACATCCCGTAGCTGAGAGCCGAGTTTGAGTCCCAGCTGCTCCACTTCCCACCCAGCTTCCTGCTAATGTGCACCCTGGGAGGCAGTAGATGCTGGCTCAGATGATGATTCAACTACCCACGTGGGAGACCCAGACGAAGTTCTGGGCTCCTGGCTTTGGCCTGGCCTAACCGTGGCTGTTGTAGACATTTGGGAAGTGAACCGGTAGATGGAAGATTCATTCTCTCTCTCTCTCTCTCTCTCTGCCTTTCAAGTAAAATGAAAACAAATGAATAAAAAAGTTTCTAAGGAACTCTTCTGTTAATGGGCTAGACATTTTCTTGGTGTGGTCCCTGGAGGTAGAAAATCCTGCCTCTGTGGACACCTGGGGACATGTGATGTCGCCAAAGAGATCTTGTCTAAGCCCCAAACTCTGCTTGTGGGAACCCAGATGGCCAACCTCAAGCAGGCAGGACGGCTGAGTGGGCTTTTGAGGCCAAAGGACTCCACAGTCAGTCATCTTGGGGACTTCCCTTCCCCATTTTTATATTTTGTTTGTTTGTTTGTTTTAATTTGAAAGGCAGAATTACAGAGACGCAGAAGCAGAGAGAGAGGTCTTCCAACCACTGGTTCATTCCCCAGATGGCCACAATGGCTGAAGCTGGGCCAATCCAAAGCCAGGAGCCAGGAGCTTCCTTCAGGTCTCCCACGTGGATGCAGGAGCCCAAGTGCTTGGGCCATCTTCAACTGCTTTCCCAGGCCTTTAGCAGGGAGCTGGATGGGAAGTGGAGCAGCTGGAACTCCAACCAGCCCCCATATGGGATGCCGGCACTGCAGGCAGAGGATTTACCCGCTATGCCACAGCACCAGCCCTGCATTTTTTTTTTTTTTTTGTCCATTTAAAAAAAAAAATAGTTTTGGGGCTGGCACTATGTTGTAGCAGGTAAAGCCACCGCCTTCAGTGCCAGCATCCCATATCGGCGCCAGCTGCTCCACTTCCCACCCAGCTCTCTGCTAATGTGCCTGGGAAAGCAGACGATGGTTAATGTATGGGCCCGTGCACCTACATGGGAGATCCAGATGGAGGCCCTGGCTTCTGGCTTCAGCCTGGCTTAGCCCAGTCTGTTGTGGCCATCTGGGGAATAAATCAGTGGATGGGAGATTTCTCTGATTTCTCTTTCTCTTTCTATCGCTCCCTCTCTTTCTATAACTCTGACTTTCAAATAGATATTAAAAAAAAAGCTTTATTGACGTATAATTCACGTTATCTCACTCACTCACTCATTGAAAGTGGGTTCACATTGTCATCACCCCCCAAAGAAGCCCCTTTCCCACAGCACTGCCCCAGCCCTGGGGGACGGCCAGGCTGTGAGCTGCCTCTTCAAGGCCCTGCATATATCAATATCAGTGGAGTCATGCAGAGCTTCATGTCCAGCTTCTTGCACTCAGCATGTTTCCAGGGCTCACCCAAGTTGTAACACGCACTTTGTTTTCTTTTTATGGCTGAAATGCATTCCACCCTAAGGACACGCCACATCTGTATTTGCGTAATTATCATTGGATGGCCATTTGCGTTGTTTTCACTTAGCACTAAGTGGTTAATGCTGCTCTGAATGTTTGCACACAAATGTTTGTGTGTCATTCATTATTTTTTTTTAAGATTTATTTATTTGTTTGAGAGGCAGAACTACAGAGAGGGAGAATCAGAGAGAAAGATCTTCCATCTACTGGTTCACTCCCCAAAATGGCCTCCAAAGGCAGGAGCCAGGAGCCAGGAGCTTCTTCCGGGTCTCCCACGTGGGTGCACTGCTTTCCCAGGCCATAGCAGAGAGCTGGGTTGGAAGCGAAGCAGTCAGGACTTGAACTGGCTCCTATGTGGGATGCCGGCATCACTGGCAAGGATTAACCTGCTATGCCACTGTGTCAGCCCCATGTGTGACTCATGTTTATTTCTCTTGAGTGTAGACCTAGGAGGAAAATTACTGGGTCATAGGATAATTCTGTGCTTAACCATTTTTATTGCAATACAATATATGTAATATAAAATTTGTCATGTTGGTGCTGGCATCATGGTAGAGCAGGTAAAGCCACTGCCTGCACTGCCAGCAGCCCATACAGGTGCCAGTTCACGTCCCGGCTGCTCCACTTCCCATCCAGCTCTCTACAATGGCCTGGGAAAGCAATGGCAGATGGCCCAAGTCCTTGGACCCCTGCACCCACCTGGAAGACCGGGAAGATGCTACCGGTTCCTGGCTTCAGATCAGCTCAGCTCCTGCCATTGAGGCCATCTGGGGAATGAACCAGTGGATGGAAGATCTCTCTCTCTCTCTCTCTCTCTCTCTCTCTCTTTGCCTCTGCCTCTCTGTAACTCTGCCTTTCAAATAAATAAATAATTTTTTTTTTTTAAAAAAAAAGAATGTTCTACTTATCTCCAGGTGCATTTGATGAAATGTTAACTTGACATCTTAAAAAATATTCGAAGAAGAACAAGAAGAAAGAGTGACAGAAGTGGGGGTGGGGCGGAGAGAGAGAGATTCCAACTACTAGTTCACTCCCCAAATGGCCATAGTGACCAGGGCTGGGCCAGGCTGAAGCCAGGAACCCAGAACTCCATCTGGGTCTCCCACCTGAACCATCCTCCACTGCTTTCCCAGGCACACTAGCGGGGAGCTGGATGAGAAGTGGAGCAGCCGGGACCGGGACCAGTTCTCTGACACGGAATGGCAGCCTCGTCCGCGCTGGCCTAACAATGCCGGCTCCTGAGTCGTGACTTCTGTCCCATTCAACAGGATGCTCGGCTCGCTCTCCCCTGCCCCCGGGAGCATGAGTTCACTTGACTCCTCTGTGAATCTGGCTGTTCTAGATTCTCACTGTGCTTGTCAGGGGTTTCTGGAAAAGCACAGCCCAGAGGAGCCCCTCCAGCGGCTGGCCCTGGCCCCCCAACCGTGAAGGCTGAGAAGTCCCAGACCTGGTGCCAGCAAGCGTCAGGCCCCCGGGAAGTCGGCGGCGTGGCTCCGGGGCAGGCAAGGGGAGGGGACGTCTCCCTTCCTCCACCTTTTGGCTCCACGTGTGCCCTCAATGGATTGAATGAGGGTCACCCACACGAGACAGGGTGGGCTTCTTTCCTCTTTCGACTGATTCAGTGCTAATCTCACATTGAAATCCCCTCGCAGACACACCAAGAAACAATGTGCAGCCGAATCCCTGGGCATCCCAGCGGCCGGGTCAAGATGACACACAAAGTGGCCGTCACATGGGACAGTGTCACCATCTGGCGTGTGTGCTTCCGTGCCAGCCTAGCCTGGTACGTTTCGGGCTTACCTAGGCTGCGACGTGTTCCGGGCTTTCCCTCCGTTTCAGGGGTGAGGAGTGGGCGTGTCCTATTCCATGGATAACCCGCACGTTGCGTACTCCTGTATCCAGAGAGGGACATGTGGCTTGTTTCCAGCTGTTGGCTACAGTGACCAATGTGCTCTTGCACACTGGTGTAGGGACACCTGTCTCAGTCCCCTCTGTTCAGCTCTTGTGGGTGTGTGCCTAGAAAAGAAATGCCAAGACTACGGTAATTATGGATTTTATGATGGCTCCCTGCTTGACTTTTTGAGGAACCAGCATTCTGGGTGCAAACTGCCGAAATCTTTACTTAATTTATACTAAATTGATCTTCTGTATATAAAGACAATTGAAAATGAATCTTGATGCGAATGGAATGGGAGAGGGAGTGGGAGAGGGGAGGGTTGCGGGTGGGAGGGAAGTTATGGGGGGGAGCCATTGTAATCCATAAACTGTACTTTGGAAATTTATATTTATTAAATAAAAGTAAAAAAAAAAAAAAAACCTGCTCCTAACACTAACATTCTTTTCTTTTTTTTTCCCCCCCAGAGCCATTGCCTTTGCTAGTCCCTCTGTCTGGGAAGCTTTTCTTGCATCCTCCTTGCCCGGACAGATTTTACTTCTACTTCGAGGTCTGAAATCAAAAGCTGCTCGCTTTCCTGGGGTTCACCGCCTACATCTGGACCGTGGAGATCGTGACGAAGAATCAGTGCGTGCAAGGAACTCAGAACAGAGTGACGAATAGTGACGCCTCTTACCATGAAAGTTAAAAAGCATAGAACTGTGTGTGGTTATTAACATCTACCCCCCTCACCTCTCACGCTCTAAACCCACGAAGCCGGAGGCTTTGCTTGATTTTTGTTCATCTTCACGTCCCTAGCGTCTTACCCTGTCTGGCATACGACGGGCGCTCAGAAAGCTAACGAAGAACCAGCTGTGGGAATAACTGGAGAGACGGGGCTGGAGCCGGCGCCCAAACGTCACCGCGAGGCCCCGCCCCGGGGGCGGAGCCATGGCCCCAGGCCGTCACGTGGGGCGCCGCTGGGCGGTGACTGGGAAAGCGGGGCCAAGATGGCGACAATGAGGAAGGTGGTGCCGCGGCGACTGGTGGGCTTGGCGACCCTCCGGGCTGTAAGTGCCCCGTCCGCCGAAGGGACGACCCTGCAGGCAGCCGTGACGGTCGGGGTCGGGGGCCTGAGCCGTGGCGGCCGCCCTCTGAGAGGCGAAGCTGGGCAGCGTCGGGAGGGCCGTGGAGTCTTCGGCGCTCCCTGGCTCGCCCAGATCCCTTCAGGGCCGTGGGGGCCCCTGAGGCCCCGAGAGGTGGAGCGGGTCGCGGAGAGCCGGGACGCCATCCCGGGCGTGGGTTCCCCGTGCAGGGCCCTCCCGGTGCCCCGGCTCCCTCCTCCCGCCGAGCCTCACACCTGTCACCTCTTAGTGAAAACCACAACACTTGCTTCCAGTGCCGCTCGCGAAATTGACCCGTCGGTTTCCAGCTGTTGTCGCTCTCAGGGACGCGGGGCGCTGTCCCGGCCTGCTGAGCGTGGCTTGGGTCGCGTGGGGCCAGGCTGGGACTCCCCTGGGCTGGATCTGAGGTTCTCCCGTCCGCACGCGGGGGGAGAGGGTGGGACACCCAGCTGTAAGGGGTTGAATGACAGCCCCAGCTGCGGTGGCCCCGACGTAGTTATCTACTGCCTAAACCTCCGCTTTCTCGTCTACAAAGCGACACCAGGACCAAGCTGTGTCTCTCTAGCTGTGCGACAGGACACGCGTTCCCGGGGCGGAGCTGACAGGGGGCCCGTCCGGATGCTCAGGGTTTGGGTCGTTATCGGCGCTGGCTTTGGTGGGGGTGCGTCACAGCGCAGGACTCATCCCTGGGGGGCGGGGGGCCCATCCCTGAGCAGACGGTTATGGAAAGAAGGAGCTGAGCATTGCGGGGGAACAAGACTGCAGCCCTGAGGGTGGCACAGAGGCAGCAGGGTGGCACTGCCGCTCGACCTAGCACCCCGGGGGCCCGCCAGGCAGGTGACTCTGGCAAAGTGACGTCATCTCTCCAAGCCTCAGATTTGTTGCTTAGTAGAATTCCGCAAGGTTTGCCGGGCTCTCGGGTCCGTAGCAGGTACACAGTCCTACCTCCTAAGGCTGCTGAGAAGAGGCTGTGCGCTGACAAACTGTTTAATGAATGTGGATTGTTATAGGAAGGGCAGGAGGTGGAGTTACACTGTTCTGGTATAAGGAACTCGGCAGGAAGTTTTCCGTTCTTTCAACAGCACCCAGCACTTATTTATCGCACCCCTGTTAGGTCCCGGGCCTTGGAATAAGCAGAGAATAGAAGTCAGGCACACAGAGCCGCAGGACACTCTCAGGGCCGTGTTCGGCCGAGGCTGCCAGCCCTGCCGGAGCCTCGGGTCGCAGGCCCTTCCCGTGTGGCCTGTCCCCTTGGCCTCCAGGAAGCTTTGCTGGCTAAAGCCTGGCCAGTCCAGCCCAGCTGTTCACTGTGCATCTGGCTGATGGCAGGGAGCTCCTACAGGTTCTCAGGGGTCAGGGTCCTCAGCGGATTACACCACGTACCCCTCCTCTCCGCCCACTGCGGAACATTTATCCTGATCAAATCTGCTAAAGTTAAGTGCTGTCAGGGTAAGATGGGTAAGGGAAAGGAGGAAAAGCACTCGCACAGGGCTTGCTGGGGCGGAGGGGAAGCCTGGGGATAGATGTTGTGTAAAGAGGACTCAGGGCGGCTTTGCCCTGCCTCGGACTAACCAGACAGAGCCTTCCTGCCATCCTCACCCCCACCCCTGCCTGCCTCAAAGCCTGAGACTAGCCCCATGCTCCTCCCACGCTCCGTAGGTGCCCGCCGCTGGGACCCCCAAGCCCTTCGTGCATTTCTTTGTTGCTTTGGTAAATTTGCTGAGTGCCTGCCTTGTGCCCTGCCAAATGGTAGGGGTGAAGCGCCGGGGAAGACAGACACGGTCCCTTAGGGGCCTGTGTTCTGCCTGAGGAAGCACCCAGGAGACGTTATTGGCAGTGCTCTGCGGGAAATAATCATAGTCCTGGAATAGGGAGTGGTGGAGGGGAGGAAGGGAGGGGCAGCTTTGCAAAGGAGGGGGCTCCATAACGGAGATGGGAGAAGCGCCTGCCGGCACAGGGAAGCCTTGGGAGAGGCGGCCAGGGGCACTGGAGCCTGGCGCCCTCTAGGGCAGAGGTGGCAGTTGAGGGACCTGTTGGGTTCAGCAAGGTCAGCGGAAGCCACACCACGTGGAGCCTCATGGGCCATGGGGGAAGGGGATGGGTCAGGCTGTGGTTTAAGCAGCCGGTGGCTGCGGTGGAGAGAGAGAAGGTGGAACACACTGGCTGTGGGAGCAGGTGCGGAGTTCTGTGCGCGCTTCAGGGAAGAGTGTGCCCTGCGAGTGTGAGTCTTGCTCATTCCTGTTTCTAAGACGTCCTCGCCAAATGTGCGTTGACTGCTGAGGTCCGTGGCTTCTGGTCGCAGGGCTGTGACGATGAGTGCGTTCCCTCACAGTGGTGCCCTCACAGTGGGTGTGACAGCCTCTTCCTCTTACTTTGTGTTTCCTCTTTTAAACCAAAGGTCAGCACATCGTCGCCTATGGGCACGCTCCCCAAACAGGTGAAAATCGTGGAAGTTGGTCCCCGAGATGGACTGCAAAATGAAAAGGTAAAGATGGACGTGAACCAAGCGGGTGCTCCAGCCATCTGCTTTGAGTTTGCCGCACGGTGGGAAGTGTGGCCCAAGATGCGACTAAGCTGGGTCAAGTGCATCTTAGGCTTTTCGTAAGATCCAGTATTGTTGGAGTTGATTGAGTGACTTGAGCAGATTGTAAAATAATATATATATATTTAAAATCTTACATTTTTGTGTAAGAAACAAAAATCTGTGTGTTCGAGGGGTGACATTTACAATAGAACCTACACCCTTACTGTCCCGTACAACTTTCCGTGAAGATGGGAAAATGTCCTGGTTGTGAATATTCTAGACCTCAGTGTGTTGGCCACTAGACACATGTGGCTCTGAGCACTTGCTGTGTGGCTGGGGTGGCGTTTGGCCTGGTGGTTAGATGCCCATGTCCCACCTCTGAGGGCCTGGGTTTGATCCCCAGCTCCGTTCCTGACTCCAGCTTCATTCTGCGAGGCAGTGGTGACGGCTCGAGTAGTTGGATCCCTGCCACCCACGTGAGAGACCTGGATTAAGTTCCTGGCTCCCAGCTTTGGCCCTCTAGCCACTGTGGGCATTTGGGGTGTGAACCAACAGATGGGAGCTTTGTCTCTGTCTCCCTCAAACAGGTAAAGTTACTGTGACAGAGGAACTGACATTTTCTATAATTTAAATGACCGCAGGTGGCTAGTGGCTAACGTATTGGACCACACAGATGGGGAGTTACTTCCCAGGGTGCTAATAGTATCTCTGGGACTAAGAGTAGTTTTGTCATGGGCATATTTTTCTGAACTCATGTGCTGTTCAGTATTTTGGTAGGAAAAGCTTTTTGTTCTTTCTTTAAGACGGAGCAGTCTGGCTTCCATAGTGAGTGCTTGTTGGGAGCACCAGTCTGACAGCCCCATGATGGCAGAATCATATCTGTCCTGCTTCCTGCTGTGTATCCCTTGTACCTAACACATTGCCTGGAACTCAGGGGCTTTCAAAAATTATCTGTGGAACGGGTTAAGTGAATGCAGTGGGGGAGAGGGAGAAGGGGCAGGCCGCAGGGCCTGGTGAAAAGAACCTGGAGTTTTTAGGATTCTTAACCCAATCCTGAAAGTATTAGGGAGCCTCGGAAGGCTGTTGAGCAAGAGAGTGAGACAGTGAAAGTTGTGTTTTAGGATGAATTGGTGGAGTGAGACTGTGCTCATGGGATAATGGCAGGAGATTTGGTCAGAGCGATCCATGGGAGCTGCATGTGGAGGAGGGAGGGCAAGGGGCAGTGGGTTGAACATGTGAGAATGAAGTCCAGTGCCAGCTGGGAGATGGAAAAGGGGAGAGTGTGATATTTTGGGGGCCCCTTTCCATAGGACCCCAAAGGTTGGTCATCTCTGCCCTTTCAGGCCATGGCACTTTGCTCTCAAGTTGTTTATAGTGGGGTCATAATCTACACATGTAATCAAGGGAATGTCTGCATGGTGGAAAGATAAGTTTCCATGCCAATACTAACTCCTTGTTGGGTGAGCACTGCCTCCAGTGTGGACTGCCCACCACCTGCGGGACCTGAAGACAAGGCTTGTCCCCTGCTTGTGGGCAGGGAGTGTGCCTGGCTTCCGGGTGGGGTTTGGGAGTGAACCAATAGGCACAGTTTTATACCCAGCTGTGCTGACCTGGCCTCTCTGGTGCTCCTCTGTCCGCTGCAGAACATCGTCCCCACTGCCGTGAAAATCAAGCTGATAGACATGCTGTCTGAAGCCGGACTCCCCGTCATAGAAGCCACCAGCTTTGTGTCTCCCAAGTGGGTTCCCCAGGTGAGCCCCAACCCCCAGAGGGAAGCCTTTCCTGGGACAAGAGGGGTGGGAAGTCGTGCATTTGCTCTTGAAGCTGGTGGGCGTGGGGAACAGGGGCCTCCAGGCCCCTGGCTGAGGGGCCGTGGATGAGTCATTGTGCAATGGTGCCCAAAAGAGCATGAGCCAGGAGTCATGGGTGCAGGGTCAGCCTTGACAATGCCTGGACTTGCTGGGTGACCTTGCTAAGGCCTTCCCCTCCCAGGCCTCCCGCTTACAGGCACGGGCAGGCAGGGAGGAGAGGTCTGCTCCAGGATGAGTGTCACACGTACAGTTTGGCCTCGGTTCATGGCTCGACATGTGATGCTGGCAGGTTGGCCTCATGGAGAAATCAGGGCTGTCACCCAAACCCGAGCCTTGCCGGTGGTCGAACAATTGCTGCTGACTTTAGGGAGATGAGCTCCACAGGACGCACTGCCCGGGCTCCTGGAGGACAGGGGTTGGGTGAGGAGGCTTCCCCGGCCTGCTCCTGGTGATGACTTGCAATGTCTCTCCCTTGGCTCCCAGATGGCTGACCACACTGAAGTCTTAAAGGGCATCCGGAAGTTTCCTGGTAGAAACTACCCGGTCCTGACCCCAAATTTGAAAGGCTTTGAGTCAGCGGTAAGAGACTGGTATGGTGGTGGGGGCCCCAGAAATGAAACAGGTGACACTGGTCCCTGCTTTGTCTCTAGCCCCGCCCCCTGTCGTGGGGGGTCCATCTGAACAGCTTGTCTGCAGTGCTGGGCCTGCCCCTTGCCACTCTTCGCCATCCTGACAGATGCTTAACCTCTCTGAGTCTCCGGTTCTGCTGTAGAACGAATGACAGTGCCTGACGCCGGGAGGACTTCAGAAGCTAGAATTTGCATGCGTTGCTTAGCAAGAACCTGGCCCACGTGCTTAGGAGACGTGACTTACTCCTGTGATTGCCTGCTTCAGAGGAAGGCAGCTCTCCAGCAGGCTCTCTTTTTTCTTTTTAATTTGTGTTGGCTTTCATCTTACTTGAAAGGCAGATAGACCCAGGGAGATCTCCCATCCTCTGATTCATTCCCCAAATACCTGCAACAGCCAGGGCTGGGCCAGACCAAAGCCAGAAGACCGAAACTCCATCCAGGTCTTCTCTTCTGGGTGGCAGGCACCCCACTACTTGGCTATCACCTGCTGCCTCCCAGGGGGCACGTTAGCAAGGAACCGGAAGAGAGAGCAGAGCCACCACTCAAACCCAGGCACTGTGGTGTGGGTCGTGTGGATCCCAAGCAGTGACTTAACCACCGTGCCAAACACCTGCCCTCCAGGAGGGTTGCACCAGGAGCTGCCAGCACCTGCCAGCTTCCTTACAGCTCTGGACAGGAGCGTCGCTGGAAAGGCTGGTCCTGCGTTCGGGCAAAAGGCTCCTTGCAGGAGTGACTTGAGCGGTGGTGGCAGAGGTGGTGCTGGTGTTTCCCTGGAGGAAGTCTGTGCTGCTTTCTTATTTTTTTTTTTTTAATGTCTTTTTGTGTTCATCTCCATGAAGGGCAGAGCAAGAGAGAAAGAGATTCCTTCTACTGGCTTACTGCCCAAATGCCTACAACAGCCAGGCCTGGGTCAGGCCAGTGCTTGCAGCCTGGAACTCCATCCTGGTTTCCCACAGGGGAGGCAGGGAACCGGGCATTTAAGCCCTCAGCTGCTGCCTCCCAGGATGCATTAGCAGGAAGCTGGATCAGAAGTAGAGCAGCCAGGACTCGAACCAGCACCCATGTGGGATGCAGGTGTTCCAGGCAGAAGCTTAACCCACGGCACTACAGCGCCCTCCTGTAATATTATTACTGAGACATAAGTCACTGTATTTATTTTCTAGGGCTACTATGAGACAGTGCTACCATTTTAAGTGGGTCACTTAAAATGACAGTCGTGTGTGCTCTCACGGGGCTGGAGGCTGGAAATCCCACAGGAAGCTGTGCTGTGCCTGGTTCCGTCTGAGGAATCTGTGCAGGCGCCCTGCTGCCTCTGGTAGGGGCCGGCAGTCCACGCACTGCTTAGCCTGCGGGTGCGTCACTGCAGTCTGCCCTCTCCTCCATGTCTCTGCGTCTTCTCTTGGCCGTCTTCTTGTGAGGACACCGGTCCTATTGGGCCAGGGCCCGCCCCCCTCCAGCATGGCCTCATGCTGACTCCTTGCGCCCACAATGGCCTTTCACAGAGAAGGTCGCATCCTGAGGTACAGATTCTACCCCTACCACTCGCCCTCCGTGAAGTTCACTGGGACACTGTGGGTGCGTGTTCCCGGAAGAGAGAGGGCTGAGAGCTTCCCGCGGGTACTGACAGGTGGCTGCCGGCGCCAGGGAGGTGAGCATCTTCGGAGCCGCCTCAGAGCTCTTCACCAGAAAGAATGTCAACTGCTCCATCGATGCGAGCTTCCAGCGGTTTGACGCCATCATGCAGGCGGCTCGGGCGGCCGCTATCCCCGTGCGGGGGTGAGTCTGTGGTTCTGTTTCCTGAGTGCCTTTCCGGAACAGGGCGAGGCCCCCGGGAGCCGGAGCTCCTAGCACCGTGTGCACGGTATCTACTCTAATCAGTACCTCCTGTCTGCCCCGTGAGGAGCCATCCCCGCTTTTCAGACGGCAGAACTGAGGCTCAGGGAGAGTGGGTAGTCTCCCACGAGGCTGCACAGCCGGCCCAGTGATAGCCAGAGGTAGCTTTCAGAAGCACACACCTGAGCCCATTCGCGGTTAAAGACCTTCCCCGTGATGGCCAAGTTCAGGCGTTGGAGGTGGTTTGCAGGACCCGCATGGTTCAGTCCCCGCCACTCTGCTGCTCCATCGTCCCTGGCCCCCTTCTGGCCCCTGCGTCCTCCACACACTGCCTGCCAGCCCACTGGCCCCTGCGTCCTCCGCACACTGCCCGCCAGGCCACTGGGCCCTGCGTCCTCCGCACACTGCCCGCCAGCCCACTGGGCCCTTCCGTTCCTCCCCGACCGCTGCGCGCTCTCACCCCTGGGCCTTTGCACGCATTTTCCGTAGACTCAGAACCTCTTGCTCCTGCAGGCTGCTCCTCCTCAGAGCTTCCCCCGTCCTCAGCTGGAGCGGCTGCCCCTGCTCTGGGCTCCCACAGCCCCTGGCCACGCTCCGACGTAACACTTACCTTTGACTGGATCCTCTCGTGTCCCCACTCCCCGTGGATGAGGGCAGGGCCCACATCTCTACCAGTTCGTGCTGTGCTCTCCTCTCCACGTGCTCAGCCCAGCACAGAGCAGGTGCCCAGGAAGCGGTGCGTGGGTGATGAATGGGAAAGCAGGGGCTCCTGTCTCCCGACTCCCAGGCCTGTGCTGGCTCCTCAGCAGTGCTTGGTGAATCAGCGGGAGACTTAAAATGGAAAAGTGTACTGAGATCTCTGGGTCCCCAGTGAGCAGCCGGGTCATTGTGACACAGTGGGTTTGTTGAGCTGATTCAAGTTCTAGCCCCTCCACTTCCAATCCAGCTACCTGCTAATGCACCTGGGAGCTACAGATGATGGCCCAAGCACTTGGGCCCCTGCCACCACATGGGAGACCTGGATGGAGCTCCTGGCTGCTAGCTTCAGCCTAGCCCAACCCTGGCTGGTGTGGGCAGCTGGGGAGTAAACCAGTGAATAGAGGCTCACTCACTCTCTCTGTCTCCCTCTCTCTTGCTCTCTCTGTCACTCTGCTTTCCAAATAAATCAATCTTTAAGAAAAATATTTACCCAGAAAACATTTACTATGCCTCTTTTTTAGAAAATTATTTATTTATTTGAAAGGCATAGTGACAGAGAGAGGGAGATGATAAAGAGGTCTTCCATCCTCTTGTTCATTCCCCAAATAGCCATAACAGCCAGGGCTGGGCCAGACTGACGCCAAGAGCCAGGAGCTCCATCTGGGTCTCCCACATGGGTGCAGGGGCCCAAGCACTTAGGCAACCCTCCGCTGCTTTCCCAAGCACATTAGCAGGGAGCTGGATGGGAAGTGGAGCAGCCAGGACTCAAACCTGCGGTCATATTGGAAGCAGGTGTCGCAGGTGGTTTAAGCCACTGGCCACACCCCAGCCCCTCCCGTGCCTTCTAATGGGCAGGCTGCCGTGCTGACTCTCAAAGGCTTCCAGGGGCCTCCGCTCCAGGAGGGCCAGTGGGAGAAGAGGCCAGCTCCATCCAAGACCCCCCCACACCCCCAGCCATGAGCAGAGCGCGCCTGCCTTCCCGCCTCCTCGTTCTCGATGCGCGCCATGCCTCCGCTCCTCTGCCCCTTGCCGGGTGCTGCTTGCTCTGGGATGCCCTTCCCGCAGCCCCAGCGGCCTGGGAGAGGGCTTCCGGGTCCCCATGTGGGACTTGGCCTCCAGCTGCGTCCCTTTTTTTCCCTCCAGAGCCCATCACTTCTGAGATTTTTACACCTATATATTTGATTGCCTTTTTATCCAGAAGGCTGGGTACCTGGTCATTCTTACTCAGTGCCCCTGCTTGGCACACAGCAGGCCAGTCGGCAAGCGGCAGTGACCCCTCGGCCCTCAGCCCACTGGGCTTGTGTGCGGGTTTGCAGTTTCAGCCAGTCTTTGTCTCCCCTGGCACATAGTTACACACACACACACACACACACACACACCAACCCCAGCTCAGGTGCCGGCTCACTCCCCGCTTCTCCACGTGGACACACACACACACACACACACACACACACACACACGCCCCAGCCCCAGCCCCAGCCCCAGCCCCAGCCCCAGCCCCAGCTCCAGCTCAGGTGCCCGCTCACGCCCCGCTTCTCCTGAACTGTGAGCCCTGTGGGGTTCTCTGCTGCCCCCTCCTGGCACTAGGCTGCACTGCCTTGTTCCCTCTGCACCTCCCAGAGTGAGCCTCACTGCGGCCTCCTGCCAGCCCTCAGGTTCTGGCTGCAGGCTTGCCAGGACTGTGCGTCCTCAACAGCCACCCTGCATCAGCCCTGCTGGCCGGAGAGCCCGGGGCACCGATGTCCTTCCTGCCCTGTGTTCCCGTAGGTACGTGTCCTGTGCGCTGGGCTGCCCCTACGAAGGGAAGATCTCCCCGGCTAAAGTGGCGGAGGTGTGTGTCGGGCGGGGCTCTTGTGAGGGTGACAGTCGGGTGGGCTTCCTTTCCCTGCTCTTTCCTGGTAGGTCACTATTTCATTCATTCACCCAGCCCAGGGGCTCTAACCCAGCACCATAGGACCCCAGAGGCATGCACCTCCCACTGTCCCCCACTGCCCCAGCAGGCCCAGCTATTGCTCCTGGCCGAGGGCGCGGGACATCGCCAGTTCATTTGCTGTGCGGGAGACTGGTGAGGTCGCCCAGGTCCCTTGCTGTGTCACATCCTTCCTCCCCCTGTCCAGCAGCCCACGTGGCAGCGTCTCCACAGGGAGGCGTGTCCTGCCCAGCTGTCCCGAGATGTCATGGGTTTTCAGTGGCTTCTAAAATGTTGGTAGTTAGGAATTCCTGCTAAGAATATGTAGGCAGCGTCGCGGGCCCAGGCTGCAGGGATCTTACTGCCCAGGACAGAACTCGCTGAGGAGTCGGCTGCCCTGATTCCAGCACCCAGGCGTGAGCAAAGGATGAAGTGGGAGGGACGTGGCAGGAGGAGGGCCCGGGCGCAGCTGGCTCTGCCCTCTGAGCCACGAGCCCAGGCTCACACTCGGACACGGAGGTGTTCTCCCTACACAAGGATCCCTGCTCCGAGCCCCTGCACCCCTGCCTGCCGGAATCGAGTCCCCAAGAACCTGCTTGCCTCCCCAGGTCTCCAAGAAGCTGTACTCCATGGGCTGCTACGAGATCTCCCTGGGGGACACCATCGGGGTGGGCACCCCGGGAGCCATGAAGGACATGCTGTCTGCTGTCATGCGGGAGGTGCCGCTGGCTGCCCTGGCTGTCCACTGCCACGACACCTATGGCCAAGCCCTGGCCAACACCTTGATGGCCCTACAGGTAATCAAAAGCACGTGCCCATTTCCCCGAAGGGCAGGGCGTGGTGGCAGGACAGCCTGGTTTCTGTTATTCCCTCAGCAAACATTCCCTGATGCCGGCACGCCAGGCCCTGGGCTGGTGTGGTGGACACAGGCATGGTGACCCTGTCCTGTCAGTGCGTGGCACCCTCTGTCTGGGGGCAGCCAGTGGTCCTGCTGCACGGTGACAGGTGCCGCCAGGGAAGGAGTCCTGGAGAGGGGCCCCGCCCCAGCTGCGGGGGTCGGGGGATTTGGCAAAAGTGGCCCAAGTGAGGCTGAAGACGGAGAGAAGAAGAGGGAAGGTAGGGAGGCAGGACTGCACTGTGTGGGTGAGTCTGGGTCCGGGGCGCGCGTGCTCGCCTGTGTGCAGTGCACGTGTGCAGGGGGAGCAGGTGTCTGCTTCCCCTTTGAATAAAGAAGCAGCTGAAAGTGAGGGTGGGGAAGGGGGTGGCGGAGGCCTAGGGACAGTGAAGAAATGAAGTCGTCTTCTGGGGAGAAGGAAGCGACGTCAGGGACACGTGACATGATAGGGCCCTGGTGGGGCCAAGTGACAGCAGGCAGGGGCAGACGGGGGTGGGGGGACAGGAGGTGAATGGGTGGCAGGAAGAACAGAGGTCTGCCTGTCAGCAGTGGGAGGGGCCGGACCGGTGGTGAGGGGGAATTCTGGGAGGAGGTGGCTTGGAAGCCGAGGCCTAAAGAAAGAGAATCAACTGTCAGGATGGGGAGCGGAACCTGCTGCAGCGGAAAGAGACAGGAGATGGTCAGCATCCCCGCGGTGTGAGCCTGCTCCCCTCCAGCCAGCGGTGCTCGCCCACGCGCGCCCGCGCAGCAGCAGACGGGGCCGGAGCAGGATTTCAGGAAAGGCGTGACCGCGGAGTTCCGGGGACCGATGGGCGTGGCGGGGCCTGGGCCCTGGCGGCAGCGCGGCATCCTTGTTTCCAGATGGGGGTGAGCGTCGTGGACGCTTCTGTGGCCGGACTAGGAGGCTGTCCCTATGCACAGGGGGCGTCGGGGAACTTGGCCACCGAGGACCTGGTCTACATGCTGGAGGGCTTGGGCATTCACACGGTAAGTGCGCCTGCCTCCTGCTGGTGATGGCCGGGAACTGAGGCGGACAGAAGAGGGGCCCTGGAGTTGTTAGCATGGTGGGAGTGTGGCCGGCATTTGGGGCACTTTAGGTTTATGAGGTAGCAGAGTGGGAGTGAAGGAGGCAACAGCATTAGCGCAAGACCACCAGGGTCTCCGTGTGAGAGGTGCCTGGGACTTTGGAGAGGGGTCAGGTTCATGACCTGAAATGAGCAGCTTCTCTCTGGGCCCTTATTTGGTTGTCTGTGAAATGAGAGGAGCACATCAGGTGGCCCAGAATCCTAAGGGCCCCCAGTGGTGGCCTGGAGGCCGGGAAGCTTTGGGATCAGACGGAGCTAGGTTGAAATCCTAGTCCTGGGACCTAGTCCTGGCATTGTGGTGCAGTGGGTTAAGCTGCCACTGCTTGTGTCACCAGAATCCCACGTCAGAGTGCTGGTTGGGTCCTGGCTGCTCTGCTTCCTATCCAGCTCCCTGCTAATGTGCCTGGGAAAGCAGTGGAGGGTGACCCAAGTCTCTGGGCCCCGTGTGGGAGACTGGGATGGAGTTCCAGGCTCCAGACTTCAGCCTGGTCCAGCCCTAGCTGTTGCGAACATTCAGGGAGTGAATCAAGGGAGGGAAGACCTCTCTCCTGCTCCCCCTGTGTCCTCCTCGCTCTGCCTTTCAAATAAGTCTTAAAAAAAAAAAGTAAAACTGAGTCCTGCTGCTCACAGGCCCGAGTTGTCTCATCCCTCTCTAATCTAGGATCTGGGAATGACCATAACATCTGCTCATAAGGCTGCTTAGCAGGAGCGGAGCCCGCGAGCACCCGGCCAGTCGGGCTGTGTCAGCAGGTTTTCTTCCTGCTGCTCTTGTCCGCAATTCATGCCCGCTCCTTTCCACCTCACAGTCCTTGCTTCGAGGTGCCATTTTTCTTATGCCTACTTGAAAGGCAGAGTGACAGAGAGGAGAGAGAGAGATCTTCCAGCTGCTGGCTCACTCCCCAGATACCGGCAGTGGCCGGGTTTGGACCAGGCTGATGCCAGGAGCCCAGACCACTGGATCCCCCACGTGGGCGGCAGGGACCCGAGCACGTGAGCCGTCACCTGCCACTTTCCCCGGTGCGTTAACGGAGCTGCATCAGAAGGCACTGGACTCTACCCCAGCACAGAGATACGGGACGCCAGCTGCCTCCCAGCCTGTTTGATCCCCGTGGGCCAGGCTCCATGCTAGGCCTAGATAGGGCACCACTGGGGCCTCGTGTATGAGGGAAGCCAGGGGCGGCCGGATCCACCCTCGCAGGCACTGGGGACGCACCTTGCCTGTGAGGAGCACTGGGGCCTGGCCGGCCTGCTGCTTCCTGGCAGCCGACAGCTCCCGACTCGGCCTCCTCTGACTTGTTTCTCAAGGGTGTGAACCTGCAGAAGCTCCTGGAAGCAGGGGACTTTATCTGTCAAGCCCTCAACAGGAAAACCGGCTCCAAAGTGGCTCAGGCCACCTGCAAACTCTGAGCCCCTGTGCGCATCAAGCCCTGGGGACGAGAGAGAGCAGGGGCAGGCGTGCATGACTCTCGGATGGGGACGTGGCAATGAGGATGAAATTAGGGGCGGGGCCTCCCAGCCTCCCTGCACGGTCTCAGTTGGCCGAAAGGAGGCGTAGGACCAGGCACTGTGGCCCCGGGCCCTCCCTGCAGCCCTGAGCGCCAGAGGCTGGGGCTGGCAGGTTCCCTTCCCTGGGCCCCAGCGGCAGCCCGGGAGGTGACTGAGGGCACGCGGAAACCCCAGCCCCTGCTGGGGGCAGCCTTCAGGGCACCCCTGGGGCCCCGATTATTAGGGCAAGGGGCACTGAAGACCCCCAGACAGGCAGAGGGCTGAGCTTCCGCGGGGGGCATCTGCCAACTCCAGCAACTCTGGAAAATCTCCACTTGGAATATGATTTTTGATAATTAAAGCTTTAATTTTCCAGAATGTACCTGTGTAGGTGTGTGTGTGACTGGGGAGTACGACTCCTTGGCAGTGGTGCAATCTCAGAGGGAAATGTATGCTCATCTCTGGATTTCCTCCCCGGCCACCAACACGGACGCCGGAAATCAGTGGCTTCGGGCTGGCTCGGGCCACTGCCCGCGGACACCCGCAGGGGCCCTTTCTCAGGCTTCGCCTGGGAGCCCGGGACTGCTGCATGACGTCCCCTGGGGGCAGCAGCGGCCTCTCCCAGGTCCACATGGCAGCTCGCGGCGCCGCAGGCTCGGGCAGACCCGGGCTTTCCCCGCTCGGGGAACGCCGGCGCGCTCGTGCGTGGACTGCGCAGGCTGCGGCGCGACCTGAAGCGCATCAGTCCCTCTTAGAGACACAGAGCAGTCGACAGGAACCCCGGGAGCTCCCGAGGCCCTCCAGCTTCCTAGCGAGCTGCCCGCGACCTTCGCCCCCCCGCCCCGAGCCCCTGCTGCCCGAGCTGCACGGAATCGGACTTCCCGAAGGAAGACTGGACGAAGGGTCGGGCAGAGCTTGGACATCTGCGGGTAGAGTGGGGCCCGGGCTCGTCGGCCCCGCGCCAGATGCCCTCCCTCTGCCCACGAGACTCCGGCACGACCCCGTCCCGGGCACTTGGGCCCGCGGGCGCCGTGTCTCGGCTCACCGCGCCGGTCAGCGGATGGTCCCGCCCACTTCCGCCCTCCGTGGGAGCTGGCCGCGCAATCGCCTTGAAGCCGCGCAGGCCTTTTGTCCTCCCGGTGTCGCCGTAGCCTAAGTGACACGTTTTCTTGGGGGCGTGGAGGGGGTGGGACCTGGGTGGGCCGCCAGCCCTTAAAGGAGCCGCCGCTCCAGGGCGGGAGGCGGCGCCTCTGGAGCCAGCGTTGGGCGAGGGATTCTGTGCAGGTTCGGGAAGCGGAATGAAGGGCCGGGTGGGTTCGGGAGGCACCGGGTGGTCCGCGGGCAACGAGGGAGCTTCGGGAGGGCCCAGGCCGCGCACCCGGCGGGATCCTGCCAGGGCGGGCAGGCCCGCCCCTCTGCTCCCGTTCGGCGCTGTCTGGGCTGGACCGCCCGGTTCATTCATTCCCGGCCCAGGGACTCTTAGTTCGGCTCCTTCCGAGCCTTGGCGCAAAGTCCCGGCTGATGCCCAGCCGCCCTCGAGCGCTCACGGCCCAGCGCCCCTTCCCCTCCATTGTACAGACTGGAAAAACTGAGGAGGCGACCACGGCGGCTGACCAGCCTTCCAGAGCCACTCTGCGGCCACCTTCCGTGCTCAGTGCAGAGCGCCGGACTGGGCGGTGGGGGTGGGGGCGGCTTCGCGGCCCGGGCAGAGTCCAGCGGGCAGCAGGGAGGACGAGGGCTGGCTGACTGCTTGGGCAGAGGGGCCGGGCTGCCAGCCTGGGGGTCCGGCTGTCAGCCTGGCTGCCGCTGACAGTGTGACCACGGGCGGATTCCCTCACCTCTCGGACCCTGGTGTCTGCCCAAGGCCAGTAGCAACACCCGCCTCATCCAGATGTGGGTGAAATTCAGGAAAGTCATGCAGAGCGTGGCACGCAGCGGGCGCTCAGTTAGAGCCAGATGCGCCCAGAGGTGAGGCAGCAGGGCGCAGGGGCGGCAGCGCGCCAGGGCTGGGAATGAAAGGCCTCAGTGTCTGGGGCTTCCTCTGGGCTCCACCGCCTGCCTGCAGTTTGTTCAGGGCGGAGGTGCACACCTGGTAGTGGAGACGAGGCCAAGCCCACGTCCACACGGCTTAGGCTTGCGGCCTGAATTGGGCAGAATCCCTAGCTCCACCCAGGAGTGACCAGGCTGGCCCTGGCATGGGCAGAGGCTGAACCAGCCTGGGGTGGGGTAGGGTGAGGCCCACACTAGGACTAGGGCTACAGCCCCAGAGCTGGGCTCAGCCTGCCTGTGTAAGGTCATCTGATCTACTTCCTGCTTCCTGCCTGCTGATCCTGGAGGGAAAGGGGGGAGGTGTTAGTCACTGAGCTCAGAGACCTGCCACCTAGAGCTGGGGCGGCCTGCGCCGGGCAGACAGGCCCCCTTCCCAGGATCCCGGAGCCCCAGGCCTGCCGCCCAGGACTCTCCAATCACTAGACACTGGGCAGGGAAAAGTGGACCTCAGATCCCATGTTCACAACCTGGGCCAAATGGAACTAGAGTGTACGGTGCCTGCGTGTCCATCTCCCCATCCAAGCCCTGCTGTGGCCCCGTGGATGCAAACTGAGGCCAAGAGAGAACTAGTGATCTCCCGAGCCTAAGGCCAGCGAGGGACTGAACCAGGGCTGACTTCGGAGCCGCCACCCTGTTAACAAGGGCTCGCTGCTGCCCGCCCGCCTTCCAGGTGCGCTCAAGGGGCCAGACTCCCCACAAAAGGAGGCCCCCTCCGAGACTGTCCCTACCGGGCCAGTGCGATGGCTGAGGAGGTGCTGGTGACGGGTGGAGCCGGCTACATCGGCAGCCACACAGTGCTAGAGCTGCTGGAGGCAGGCTACTCGCCCGTGGTCATCGACAACTTCCACAATGCCATCCGCGGTGAGCTTGGGCGCGGCCAGCAGAAGGGAGCCCCTGCTGCTCCTCCCCAACCGAGGGGGTGGGGGTGGGGGATGGAGGGGGGGTGTGTCTGGCTAGCCCTGAGCTTCCCGGCCTCCCTGCACCCTACCAGGAGGGGGCGCCATGCCCGAGAGCCTGCGGCGGGTCCAGGAGCTGACGGGCCGCAAGGTGGAGTTTGAGGAGATGGACATCTTGGACCAGGCGGCCCTACAGCGTCTCTTCCAGAAGGTGGGTGCCTGGCAGAGAGGCAGGCAGCAGACACTGCCACGGTCAAGGGCCAGGAAAGCAACCCTGACCCTGGCTTTGCCCTGCAGCACAGCTTTGTGGCCGTCATCCACTTTGCGGGGCTCAAGGCCGTGGGCGAGTCGGTGCAGAAGCCCCTGGATTATTACAGAGTCAACCTGACTGGGACCATCCAGCTTCTGGAGGTGAGGCTGGGGGCAGGGCGGGGGCAGGGGAGGGCCTGGCTGGGCCCCAGTCTGCAGGCAGAGCCACACGGCGGGTAGGGGCTCCCCAGGCTGCAGGCAGGGCCACACAGTGGGTTAGAGTCTGGGGGGCAGAATCAGGGCCCACACTGTACGTCTTGGACACCTCTCTACCTCTGGTCTGTTTCCCCATCTGTGGGTGCGTGTGCACAGAAGCGTGGCAGAGGAGCAGGGTGGGGATGAATGTGGGGGGCCCGGGCCACTGATGCCTCCCGCCTCGGCCAGATCATGAGGACCCACGGGGTGAAGAACCTGGTGTTCAGCAGCTCAGCCACCGTGTACGGGAACCCCCAGTACCTACCTCTGGACGAGGCCCACCCCACAGGGGGCTGTACCAACCCCTACGGCAAGTCCAAGTTCTTCATCGAGGAGATGATCCAGGACCTGTGCCGGGCAGACAAGGTGAGGGCCCCCTGGCCCCGCGCACCGGCTGAGCCCTCGAGTTTCCCATGAGCAGCTGGGATCCTGAGCACCCCTGGGTAGGGAGGAGGCTCTGGCCATGGAGCGACAGTGACTTGTCTAGGTCCCAGCATGGGCGGGGTGGGGCCCCAGCCTCTGAGGGCTTGTGGAGAACAGAGGCTATGAGGTAAGGGTGGGACGTGCTGCCTGGCCCCGCCCCCACCATGTGACCTGTGTCCCACAGGCCTGGAACGCAGTGTTGCTGCGCTATTTCAACCCCACGGGAGCCCACGCCTCTGGCTGCATTGGCGAAGATCCCCAGGGCATCCCCAACAACCTCATGCCCTACGTCTCCCAGGTAAGGAGGAAGGGGAGGGGCAGGGGGCGTGGCCCAGGGTCCCAGCTGGTGCTGGAGACCTGAGAGGAGCTGATCTGACCTCGGCCTCCAGGTGGCGATCGGGCGTCGGGAGGCCCTGAATGTCTTTGGCAATGACTATGACACAGAGGATGGCACAGGTGAGCCTAGGATGACCCAGGAACGGGAGCCAGTGGGGAGACAGGGACGGAACAAGCTCCCCACCCAACCGCCACCTCCTCTGCAGGCGTCCGGGATTATATCCACGTGGTGGATCTGGCCAAGGGCCACATCGCAGCCCTGAAGAAGCTGAAGGAGCAGTGTGGCTGCCGGGTAGGGAGAGGAGCGGTGCCAGGGAGGGAAGGGGACGGAAGCCTGGGCCAGTGCAGTTCCAAAAGGTAGGGGCTCCCCAGTCTGCAGGCAGGGCAAACGGCGGGTTAGGGCCTGGGGGCAGAATCAGGGCCCACACTGCAGTCTTGGACACCTCTCTTTACCTCTGGTCTGAGTTTCCCACTGGGGTGGGGTTCCAGCCCCTTCCACAAAGCCTGCTCCCCTCTCCCGGGCAGATCTACAACCTGGGCACGGGCACAGGCTACTCGGTGCTGCAGATGGTCCAAGCCATGGAAAAGGCCTCTGGGAAGAAGGTAGGCTCCCCTCCCCCAGCCCAGCTCCACCGCTCAGCAGCAAAGACCCAGGCCCTTCCTGCTGGTCTACAGGTGGACGCCCAGCACCGCCCGGCCTCCCTGGCCTGCCTTGTCCCTGGCCAGCAGCTGAGGGGCGAGGCCCAGGGCCAGCTGGACTCAGCTTTGTGGGTCCCCTCCCCTGCAGATCCCATATAAGGTGGTGGCCCGGCGGGAAGGCGATGTGGCTGTCTGTTACGCCAACCCCAGCCTGGCCCACGAAGAGCTGGGCTGGACGGCAGCCTTAGGGCTGGATAGGATGTGTGAGTGCTGGCCTAGCCCTGGGAGTGTTGGGGGCTGGACGGGGCGGATGGGGTCCGGGCTGCCCGCAGGACTCGGGGCCCTGACCACACGCCTCACTCTGCCGCAGGTGAAGATCTATGGCGCTGGCAGAAGCAAAATCCTTCGGGCTTTGGCGCACAGGCCTGAGGACCCCCCACCTCTCCATGGACCAGATAGGAGAATGAGAAGCAGCCGCCCTGCGCTCCAGCCTCTGGCAGGAAGCCAAGCCCCAGAGCGTCTGGGGCCAAGCCAAGGCCTCCCCTACCTCAAACCCCAGCTGGGCCGGCTCAGCCCACCAGGAAGGAGGCCGTGGGCTCCACTGACCAGGAGCCGGGCCTCTCTCCACTCTATCTTCCACAGGGTCCAGCAACTCCCAGGACCAGCAAGAGCAGGGAGGGAGGCTCTGGGACCAAACGCCGCCTCCCCCCAGGCACTAATTTATACTGCTACAAAGGAGCTCTCCGAAGTGTTGAAAATAAACGTTTCTTACACTGGGCAGCCGGCAGATGGTCACTCTCCGCGCCCCTGGACAGAACCAGCCAGGCCTGAGAGTTGAGGAAGCGATTTCTTTCATTTTAATTGGAATCCAGGACACAACAAGAAAAACACCCAAAACCACATGGAGACAGAAGACGAGACACAGCTCCTCCCCCACCGCCTCCCTGGCCTGGAGTGGGGACGAAGTCGGGGGAGACAGCTGGGGAGACTGAGCCTCAGTCCAGCCCAGCAGGCTCCAGGCCTGCGGGGGAAGAGGGTGACAGGGAGGCAGGGCCCAGCCCCCAAGTCGGAATGGCAGAGGGAGGGGCCCCGAGGGACTCCGCCTCCTCAGCAACACTCCTGCCCGGGGCAGGCGGCTGCGGCGGCAGCGGAGGCAGCAGCAGCCAGGGGCCCCGGGGCCATGCACACATTCATGACTGAGAAGCAGCTAGAGTGGCGGGAGGCAGGAGAGACACACGATTATCTGGGCAGAATCACGGGCAGGGGCCTGGGAGGGCCCCACGGGCCAAACCCTGAGGTCACAGGAGGGGGCCCAAAGCGGGGCTCTGAGTGAGGTCCTGAGTGAGTGGGTCGGCGGCCGGGCCCCTTTCTCCCGCTGCCTCCAGCCCCGCCTGCTGCCAGGGGTGCCCGTCTCCAGGGCAATGGGAGACGCAAGCAGCCCACACCCTGCCAGACAGCCGGGGGGCTGAGGCCAGGAAGCAAGGCCTGGCCAGGCCCCGGCCGCCTGCCCCAGAGGCCTGTGGGAAGAGGACAGGTCAGGGAGGGAGGGGACAGGGGCTTGACCGGCTCAGATCCGAGATGGTGCCACGCTTGCCTGCTGGGTCCCCCCGGTGCCGGAGGACTGTGCTGGAGGCCAGCGGCCAGTTAGACAGGAGGCAGCAGCTTCTCGAGAAATTCCTTCACAGCCGCCATCTCCTGGGGACAGGGAGCACGGTGAGGCTCCCAGCGGGAGGGCTGAGGGCGAGGGATGGGGCGGGAGGGGGCCCCACTGACCTGCGGGCAGGAGCTGTGCATGACACCCGGGTACGTTTTGAACTGGACCCTAGCAGGTGTGACAACGGACCGGAGCTTCTCGGCTGTCAGGGCCCCAAACCGCACGGGCACCATGGGGTCCAGCTCCCCGTGGCACTGAAGGATGGCCAGGTCCTTGGCACTGCCGTTGGCTGCCTGCGGGCCAGACGGGACTCAGCGCAAAGCCAGTGCCACGGCACAGTCCCCGAGCCGCGGGAGGGGGGCTGTGGGTCGCTCACCTGGGGGAAGGCCCGGTGCAGAGGCAGCCAACAGCTCAGTGCCACAATGCCAGCCAGAGGATGGGGACAGGTGAGGGCCGTGTAGAGGGACAGGGCCCCGCCCTGGAGGGAGGAGAGGATGAGAGGTTAGCAGAGCACAGCCCAGCTACCCATCCCCCCCCCCCCCACGAGCCCCCCTCACCTGTGAGAAGCCTCCCAGGACGATCCGATTGGCAGGGATCCCGTTCTTCATCTCGTGCTCAATCAAGGCCTTGACTGGGGGGAGGGGCAGGACTGGGTCGGGGGGAGGCCGCGGGAGGGGTCCAGGAAGGGAGCCCGCCAGGCACTGCCCAGCCCTTCCCAGGGAGGGGCGGGGGGAGGGGACGCTCGGTGGGCAGGGACCTTACTGTTTTCTGCTGCCTTCTTGATGCCAGCCTCGTCCTCTGGGGCGTCTGGACTCAGCCCCATCAGGTCAAACCTGGGAAGCAGAGGTGTTGGCAGCCACTGGGAGACCCTGCCCGCCCCCACAGCTCCCCCAGCCCCAAACTCACCAGGAGGGCATCACCATCTTCATGTTGAGGGTCACTGGGATCCTAGGCCTGCGGAGGAAGAGCCAGGAGGCCCACCACGCTCAGCAGGGAGGAGGAAGCCACAGCAGAGAGGCAGGAGGGGGGCAGAGCCGTCCCTGGGGGCCCCTCCCAGCAGGCAGGGCCTGTGTTTGAGGTGTTGCCAGGCAACCACCACGTGGGGCTGGAGGCTGTGGCTGGGGCATCAGCCAGAGCGATGGAGACGCAGAACCCCTCACAGGGTGACGGCTTCCAGCTGGGGGTGAGTACATGGGGAGGCCCTGATCCTAGGAGGTCTCAGGTCTGAGAGACCCCAGGGCTGGGGGTCGGTGCTGGCCCCATCTGTGAGGGCTCCACAGAGCCGAGGCTGAAAATGGCACTTCCAACTGCCCTGAGACGAGTCCCAGCATGCCGCTGGGGGGAGGGCAGGCCTGGGACTGTAGGACACGCATCACCCCTTCCCGGAGGGGTCCAATCCCTCCAAAAGGACCACCCCAGCCCCGCCCTTGCCGGGGCGACACTCACGCATGGGGACAGATGTACTTGACATGAGGGAGCCGGATGGTGGAGAGGGCGTCAGCCCAGCTGTGCCTGTAGGAGGGAAGGGAGAGAAGGCACCCGTCGGGGGGGGGGGGGACGGCAGTGCCCATCTCCCCAAGGAGCAGCCCCTCCCCACTCACTCACCCTGTGTCTCCAAGTCCATGTAAAAAAATAACCTGGAAAAGGATCAGAAATGGGGAGACAGGGAAGAATTTGCCCTTGTAGGTCGCCCAACTTCTGCACACCCCTCCCCTGCGGAGGCCCTGGGGGACCTAAGGTAGCTGCCTAAGGAGTCATTAACACGGGCCTCCGGCTCCAGGCCACTCCCTGCGCACCCCCGCCACCTCCATTTTTCCCACACCCCTCCAGCCAGCTCCCCAGCTGCCGCCACAGGAGCTGGCCATGGGACGGGCCGTGGGTAAAGGGGGGTCCTTACCGCGGCCGTCTCCCGCTCAGCTCCAGACACGGTGGCAGCGTCGGTGAGCAGGGGCACAGACATGGTGTTACCACACATACACTACAGGGCTCCCTGCAGGCTGGGCCTGCATGAACGAGGGGGAGCAGTCAAGAGGCAGGCAGGGGCTGCCCCCAGCCCCCACGGCACCCAGGTTCTATCCCAGGCACAGAGAAAAGGCAGGCAAGAAGCCCCAGGGGGAACACGAAGTTCCTCTACATCCCGGGGCTGGGAAGCAGGTGCAGCCACTCTGGGGGTTCAGACCTTGGGATCCTGGTTCTGGCCCAAGCAGGGAGCCCGAGCTTGCTGTACCCAGGCAGAGGCAGGGCAGCCCGGGCCCCCCTTGACACCCCTCAGTGTCTCCCACCACCTCTTCTCTAGATCACCAAGGTCTCCTCTGCCCTAAGCCCTAGCCCTACTGGGAAGTGCAGGGGAGAAAAATGCCAGGGGAACAGGCTTCCTCCCCACACCCCACAGCCCCATCAGCCTGCCTGGCAGTTCAGGCTGAACCATTCCCGGCGCCCCTGAAAGCGTGAGGACACTGGGCAGCCTCCCACCCCCAACTGGCGCTCCACGCCCCCCTGCGTGGGGCTACCTGCTGCTGCGGCTGTCACTGACTCGGGCTGAGCGGGCTCTGGGACTCCCAAACACACAACAGAATGTCAGCGCCGGCTGGCCCCTCCCCGCCCGCCCCGCAGCACCCCCAAACTTGCTTCCGGCGCCCCTCCCCGCCCAGGGCGCCGGCCCTCCCACCTGGCTTCCACCTGACCAGAGCGCGTCTCCGAGTGGGACCTCTGCCCTCCGACCCCGCGGCCCCTCTTCCCCTGGGAAACGCAGCCCCCCCCCCCCCCCGCGAGATTCCCTTTCTGCTCCACTGCGGGGACTCCCACCTCTCACGAGGCCCCGCCTCTTGGGGGGCGCCTTCTCCTCGCCCTGGTATCTCCCTCCCCACGGCATGAACTTGCTTCCTGACCACTCTCCACCGTGGGAGCGTCAGCTCTGAGCCCGGGCCACCCCCTCCACACGCTGACATTTCCACCCTGCCCACAAAGGGGCTCTTCATGTTGCAGCATAGAGAAGCCCCCGCCCCACAATGGGAGCCTGCACTTCTGAAGCCCAAGTCCCTCTGCCCGCACCCTGACAGCCCCCAGCCCGGCCCCGCTCCACTCCCAGAATCCCCCAGACTGGACAGCGCCTTCGCACCCCTCCCCGCCCCCATTCCCCAGGCCGCGGCCGCCCCCGGCCACCCCGCGCTCGGACCTCGCCCGCCCGCCCTCCACCCGCCCGCGCGCCCGCCGCTGGGGTACCTCTCTCCCCGGGGCGTTCGAGACCGCTCGGGCGAGTCTCCCCTTTCTCCCGCACAGACACACACTCTTCCCCTCGGCCGCCCCCGCCGGAACTTCCGCTCCAGTCCCGGGAACCCAGCCATCGCTCTGCCGGAAGTAGCCTGGCCGGCGGTACGGAATCCGGAAGCTCCCCAGCTAGGGGCTGCCATGTTGGAGAGGGCGGGGCCGCGTCCACCTGCAGGAGCGCAGGCGTCGTCGGGGACCCAGCTTGGCCCCGCCACCCGTGCGCCTCCCGCACGCCAGCGTTGGCGTGAGGTTTGCCAATTTTCCCCCCTCCCCGTGGGACACGCCTTACTATGCCCTTGGGTGTCACCGACCGGGTTGTGGGGTACATATGAGCAGTTTCACTGTGGCATTTAATGTACACAGGAGGATGTCCTACACATCCTCCAGCACAGGTCACTACAGTGGAACAAATTACCATCCCCCAACACACACACACACACACACACACACCCCTCTGTGGCTAGAATCCCAGTTAGCAAACATCCTGAATACAGCATCTGTTAACTCTGGTCTCCATGTTGTAGATTTTCTGTGCATCCTCCTCACCGAGGATGAATGCCCTATGCCAGGACAAGGAAGGGATCATGCACCCCGACCTCAGAAGACCTGAGGATTTATCTAGTCCTCCAGTCTCCAAGAGGAAACAGCCCGGGGCGGGGGGGCATAAACAGCCACCTCTAGATTCCATGGGGATGCTGCCTCTCCTGACCTGCTTCCTGGGCTGTAAAACGGCGCTAATAACCACCCTGCGCACTTCACAGCTTTGTCGTGAGGCTCTCAAATGAGGCCGTGTGAACATACTTTACACACTGTAAAATCACAGTGTGAGCCTTAATCACTCTAAAAAGGGCTGTGGG